AAATCGGCTGTTGATGACATGCTAGCCGCCGATATCATTTCCCCTTCCAACAGCCCGTGGGGCGCGCCGATCGTTTTGGTGAAAAAACACGACGGCTCACTGCGGTTTTGTGTCGACTTTCGGCGTCTGAACAAAATCTCTGTGGCAGATGCGTACCCGCTTCCTCGAATGGATGAGTCGCTCGATGCCTTGGCGGGGGCGCGATTCTTTTCCACCCTCGATTTGCTATCTGGATTCTGGCAGCTTCCTCTGGATGACGAATCAAAACCTAAGACTGCTTTTCGTACACCGCAAGGTCTCTTCCAATTTAACCGCTTGCCGATGGGTTTACATTCTGCGCCGGCAACTTTTCAGCGGTTAATGGAATTGGTCTTGGCAGGTTTGCAATGGGATTCGTGTTTGATTTACTTAGACGATGTCATCGTCTTTAGCAAATCCTTCGAGGAACACCTCCAGAGGTTGCGTGCTGTTTTTCTCAAAATGCGGGCTGCCAATTTGAAATTTAAACCGCAGAAGTGCCATTTACTCCGCGAATCGGTGCGATATTTGGGTCACATTGTTGGGCGCTCGGGGATATTCACTGATCCCGCCAAAACGGAATGCGTCAGCTCCTGGCCGACTCCCACCTCGGTGGGAGAGGTCAGGAGTTTCATTGGGTTCGCGTCGTATTATCGACGATTTGTGGCTGACTTCGCTACGATTGCGAAACCATTGCATGCCTTGACGTCCAAGGGAGTCAGGTTTCATTGGGGGCCGGAGGAGGAGGCTGCTTTTCGCGCCCTCCGGAATGCTTTGGTGGGGGCTCCGCCGTTGAATTACCCCGATTTTTCACAACCCTTCTTGCTCGATACTGACGCAAGTAACACGGGCATCGGGGGCGTGCTGTCCCAGCTCATTGGGGGCGTAGAGCATGTGGTGGCTTACGGTAGTCGGGTACTGTCTCCAGCCGAACAGCGGTACTGCGTTACCCGTCGGGAATTATTGGCGATTGTTTATTTCATTCAGCAGTACCGCCCGTATCTGTACGGTCGGCGGTTCACCGTCCGTACAGATCATGCGGCCCTACAGTACGCCCTGCGGGTTCAACAACCATCGGGCCAGTTGTCTCGATGGTTGGAGATCCTCCAAGACTATGACTTTGTCACCACATATCGTAAGGGTGTCCCGCCACACGAACGCTGACGCCCTGTCACGATTGCCACCCACTTCGGAGTGCGCGTGCCTCTTGGGTTCGGGGCGTTGTAGGCCCCCGAACGTCACCACCGATTTGGTCCTCGTGGCCGCTGCCGATGCACCTTCGGCTTCGGGTCCTATCGAGCAAGAAGGGAGGGATTCGTTGCTGGGGTTGTCGGTCGCGGAATGGGGACGCCTCCAAATGGAGGACACCTCCCTCCTCGCTCTGCGCCGTCGCGTCGGGGGGGCTGGTCAGGGGGTGGCGAACGTTGACTCGTGGGGGTTGTTCCAGGGTCTTTTAATGCACTGGGATGGAAAAACCCGCCGCCAGCGGCTCGTGGTTCCTGCAGCATTAAGGGGTAAGGTGGTATGGGCTGTTCATGAGCGGCTTCTGCACTTGGGGGTTCACAAGACCTTTGCCACGCTCCAGCTCGATTTCTTCTGGCCGGGCATGGAAAAGGACGTGGGGGATCTCCTGGGGTCATGCACGCAATGCGCGCAAAGGAAGCCACCTGCTAGGGGGTCCAACCCTCCGCTGCAGTCCATTAAGGTTTCCCGGGTTAACGAGCTCGTCGCTCTGGACATACTTGGCCCATTTCCCGCTACGCCCAGGGGCAATAGGTATTTACTAACGGGGGTTGAATACTTCACGAGATGGCCTATGGCCTGGCCCCTGGCGAACCAGTCGGCAGCAGCCATCGCGGAGGCCTTTGTCCAGGGCTATGTCCTCGACAAGGGTGCTCCGGAACGGCTGCTTACTGACCAGGGTAGGAATTTTTCTGGTAAACTCCTACGTGAGGTGTGCGACCTCTTGGGTACGGAGAAGGTTCGGACCTCTCCGTATCACCCACAAACTGACGGGATGGTGGAACGGCTGCATCGGACCATCACGTCCATGCTGTCCCAGCAGGTGTCGGTATCCCAGACGGATTGGGACCTCCGTATAGCCGGTGTGTTGCAGGCCTACAGAATGGCTCCCCATGCGGCCACCGGATTTTCCCCTTTCTTTTTAATGTATGGGCGCGAAGTTCACCCCCCTGTGGCGACCCAGCTGAAGCTCTCGGCGCCCCGGGCGAAGTCTAACTTGTCCGAACACGTTAAATTTAACATCGCTAAATTGTCTGAGGCGCGGGAAGCGGCCGTGCAAAATTCTGAACTCCGCCAGAAGGCGAACGAGAGGCTTCGGTTGGGGCGGGTGCAGGTGATCAAATGGAAACCAGGGGACAGGGCGTGGTTGCACTGTCCTCAGGTGCCGCTGGCAACCTCGTCGAAATTGGTACGGCCGTGGCGGGGGCCAGTGGAGGTCGTGCAGGTTTTGCGGCCGCAATGTGTTCGCGTCAAATGGGGGAGGCGCCGGTGGTATGTGCACCCCTCAAGGTTAAAACCATTTGTCGCGCCGCCCCGTGGTTCACACACACACACGCATGGCCAAACGTGTGAGGGTGTCGCCGACTCCCCGTCGTCGCTGCACTCGCCTAACCTGACGCCAACTGTTCCGTCCCCAGGTGAAACAGGAGTGACGGGCCCACGCCCACCAACCCCTCCCGGAGGGGTCGGGGGTCACTCGGCAGCGACGCCTGACTCTCTTGCACCCGGACCGTCAACAACCGTCACTGAGCGTGCCAGGACGGGCCCTTGTGACGGGCCCGCCGCGAGAACGCGCGCCAAAACGCGCAGACTTTTGTGAGGTCGGCCGTTGGGGGGCCTTGCGGACAATGGAAGGGGTGTTGTGAGGTCGGCCGTTGGGGGGCCTTGCGGACAATGGGAAAGGTGGCGTCCGGAGTGTGTATATATGTTGGTTTTGGGGTGTTTATCCGGGGAGGGTGCGTCGGGTTATTTTTTTTCTCTCTCTCTCTCTCTCTCTTCCTCTTGTTGTTCTTGTTGAGATTCTCTTGTTCTTGTTAAAAAAAATTTACGCGAGGCACACACGCGGGGGTTCGTGAGGGATACACCTTTATTCTGGGTTTTTTTTGCAGCCAGGGACGGCTGCGAGCTGTACAGGGGGGGGTGATGTAGAGGTGTAATTGCGCATGGCTACGAATGTTGAGGTGTGATTATGCATGGCCACGGATGGCCAACAAACACAAGGGGCGGGGTTACGGCCGCACACAAGGGTGGCGCTCGCACCGACGTCCGCATGGGTATCCCCCACGGGCCCCCCCTCGGGGGCGAGTCCTATGAAAGGTGATGAGCTCGAGGGCTCGAGGGCGGGACTCAGCTTTAACCAGAGAAGACGGAAGACCTGCTAGTGTAGGCCCCAGAGCTCCCCTGGCTCGCTGTCCTTATAAGGGCCGACCAGGGCAAGCCGGTGGCGTGGCCCCGAGAGCCCAGACGAAGCTGGTCTGGTGACTCAGGGAGCCGGGATCCCAGCTTAACCAAGCTGGGACAGATAGCCTCCCCTAGTCCCGTAGTGGAGGAATTGGTATAGGTTAGAGGGGTTAGCTGTCGAGAAATCCCTGTAGCCAAGTGACCTGTAATAACTGTGTTGGTGTAATAAATAAGTGTGCCTCCGATCCTGTCGTCAAGCCTCCATATACTTACTACACATATATACTGGTTGAGGGTGGGAGGAGCCAAGGCAGGCACCTAGATCGGAGTTTTGTATTATTATTATTGTGAGGTTGGTGCTTCTGAGGCAGCTGCTAGGAATGAGCATTTGTTGTGTAGACTGGTTGAACTGGGAGGTACCAGAGTTGTTAAGGTGCGGCTGCTGTAAATGGGACTGAGCCTTTGTTATGTAGATGAAACAGCCCTTTGCTATGTTGCTGGGATTAATTCTAGATTTGCCAAATGTGTGGTAAAACTTAAAGCAGGAAACCAGTGTGTGAAAAAAGAAGAAACTGTACGGTAACTGAAGAATAGTGCCTGTCAAATAAGATGGTCCAAATATGTGTGGTTAAACCTTTTTTGCATGGTTAATAACATCTTTCCAATGATTACTCAGTTTGTACCCATCATCACGGTTGAAATTATGTCTGTGTTTGTATATTTGGATGGCTTCGTGTACAAACCTTTGATGGTAGCCAGGAGGTTTGCAGAGTACCTTGGTCTCGGAAAAGACAATTTCATGAGAGCCCACAGCGTTGTAGCAATGATCGGCAACGGCGGAAGAATCAGTTTTGCCCTGTTTTTACTTTTATGAATAATTTTTTTTTTACCTACGTGACTTTACCGAAAAAACTTAAGAATATGAATCTTTGCAGTCACGAAAGCTTCAAATCTAAAACCCTACATCACCACCACTCCTATATAACCCAACTTCAACACCACCACTATGTAACCCCACTTCACCACCACGACCACCAACTCCTTCATAGCGACCGCTGTGTTCAGTGTCAGGTCAATAGCGGACTCACCCGATTGGCGCGTGCGAGCGGACAAACCGCACGGCGGCACACCCCAGTGCCAAGGCGCGCTCCCTGCTCACTCCGCTCCGAGGGAGGAGGTCTCCGAGAGCGGTGGTTTGGCCTCCACTCGCTCGTCTGGGACAGCGGTGGGGGGTATCCCCCACCACTTGACCCCACCATCCCCCACCACTTGACCCCACCAACCCCCACCACTTGACCCCCACCGCACTTGACCCGCCGACGAGACCTGGTGCGGTGTGCAAACATCGCCGCTGGGGAGACAAAGGCGTCCGGCCGGGGCGCTGGCCACCCACCCCCTCGTGTGCCGTGCAGGCCTTCACAGGTGCTGCTACTCGCTCACAGCACTTGCCCGGACAGTCTGTTCAGGCTACACGGGGAATCTTTGTCTGGTGGTGACGATGGTGGTGGTGGAGGTGATCGTAGGGGTCGCGTGATGGCGATGATGGTTTGTGATCTCACCGAGGCGCCGTTGAATGAGAAGTCCATCCTTCTGCTGCTGCTCCTACTGCTGCTGCTGCTCCTGCTGCTGCTCCTGCTGCTGCTGATGCTGCTCCTGCTGATGCTGCTGCTCCTGCTGCTGCTGCTCCTGCTGCTGCTCCTGCCGCTGCTTGGGTCCCGGTTCGACCCCTGGCTGCGTCACTGTGCAGAATGTGGGGGGGGGGGGGGGTCCGGCGCTCCCCCTCACGCCCCCCCCCCCTCACGCCCGCCCACACTCCATCAGCGTCTGGGGCATCGCGGGGTGGGGGAGATCAGCCGTCTTGTCGCGGGAGTTGTGAGGAGGGAATTGAATCAACAGATGCTTCCAGCAGTGCCGTGTGCGCGGCGTGCCCGTGTGTGTGTGTCTGTGTGTGTGTGTCTGTCTGTGTCTGTGTCTGTCTGTGTGTGTCTGTGTATCTGTCTATGTGTGTGTCTGTCTGTGTATCTGTCTGTGTGTCTGTCTGTGTGTGTGTCTGTGTGTGTCTGTCTGTGTGTGGATATCCGTGTGTCTGTCTGTGTGTATGTCTGTGGATCTCCGTGTGTCTGTGTGTATGTGTGTAGATATCCGTGTGTCTGTCTGTGTGTCTGTCTTTGGATCTCCGTGTGTCTGTGTGTATGTGTCTGTCTGTGTGTAGATATCCGTGTGTCTGTCTGTGTGTGTGTGTGTCTGTGTGTAGATCTCCGTGTGTCTGTGTGTGTGTGTCTGTCTGTGTGGATCTCCGTGTGTCTGTCTGTGTGTGTGTCTGTCTGTGCGGATCTCCGTGTGTCTGTGTGTCTATGTCTGTGTGGATCTCCGTGTGCTTGTCTGTGTGCGTGCGGGTCTATGTCTGTGTGTCTGTCTGTGTGCGTGTCCTGTCTGTGTGGATCTCCGTGTGTCTGTGTGTGTGTCTGTCTATGTGGATCTCCGTGTGTCTGTGTGTGTGTCTGTCTATGTCTGTGTGTCTGTCTATGTCTGTGTGGATCTCCGTGTGTCTGTGTGTGTGTCTATGTCTGTGTGGATCTCCGTGTGTCTGTGTGTGTGTCTGTCTATGTCTGTGTGTCTGTCTATGTCTGTGTGGATCTCCGTGTGTCTGTGTGTGTGTCTATGTCTGTGTGGATCTCCGTGTGTCTGTGTCTCTGTCTGTGTGTGTGTCTATGTCTGTGTGGATCTCCGTGTGTCTGTGTGCGTGCGTGCGGGTCTATGTCTATGTGCGTGCATGGGATTTTCGTGTGTGTCTCTTGAGTACGTGTACAGTACGCGTTTGTGCGAATGACTGAACCGGTCCTGAGCCTCCCCAAGGTCGACTCAGCTTCAAATGAGTACCCGGTGCGCTGTGCGAACATCAGCACTGGGGAGACAAAGGCGGCCGGGCGTAGAGCTGCTCACCCAGCTCCTCGCGTGCCTTAATAGGTATTCGCTTTCAGCACGTGACCCAAGTCTGTTCAAGGCTGTCACTGTCTATGTTCGTGTGTGCGTCTATGCGTAATATATTTGAATCTCAAGTATATCTGCCTGTATGTGTATATACTGTATTAACATACGTGGTGTATGTGCTGTATGTGTTGTGGATACGTATTGTGCACGTTGTGTATATGTGTTGTGGATGCGTATTGTGTATGTTGTGTATATGTGTTGTGGATGCGTATTGTGTATGTTGTGTATATGTGTTGTGGATGCGTATTGTGCACGTTGTGTATGTGTTGTGGATGCGTATTGTGCACGTTGTGTATATGTGTTGTGGATGCGTATTGTGCACGTTGTGTATGTGTTGTGGATGCGTATTGTGCACGTTGTGTATATGTGTGAAGAGAGACAAAGGCGGACTCGCAGCAGTTAAGATGGGCGCCGTGCCTTCGGCGCCTCGAGTCGCGGTCTCATCCTCCTCCTCTCGCTGCTGCTGATTTAGAGAAGGGGGGCGAGAGGCTAGAGGGGGGGGGGCTGGAGGAGAGAGGGAGGGAGCGTGGGGAGAGGTGAAGCAAAGGGTTAAGGGCGACAGGTGGGAGCATGGGGAGGGATTGACGACGAAGGGGAGGTACAGTGAGGGAAAAAGTATTTGATCCCCTGCTGATTTTGTACGTTTGCCCACTGACAAAGAAATGATCAGTCTATAATTTTAATGGAAGGTTTATTTGAAAAGTGAGAGACAGAATAACAACAACAAAATCCAGAAAAACGCATGTCAAAAATTGTTATAAATTGATTTGCATTTAAATAAGGGAAATAAGTATTTGACACTGAGAGGGAGGTGAGTGACAGTGAGAGGGAGGTGAGTGACAGTGAGAGGGAGGTGAGTGACAGTGAGAGGGAGGTGAGTGACAGTGAGAGGGAGGTGAGTGACACTGAGAGGGAGGTGAGTGACACTGAGAGGGAGGTGAGTGACACTGAGTGGGAGGTGAGTGACAGTGAGAGGGAGGTGAGTGACAGTGAGAGGGAGGTGAGTGACAGTGAGAGGGAGGTGAGTGACAGTGAGAGGGAGGTGAGTGACAGTGAGAGGGAGGTGAGTGACACTGAGAGGGAGGTGAGTGACAGTGAGAGGAAGGTGAGTGACAGTGAGAGGGAGGTGAGTGACGGTGAGAGGGAGGTGAGTGACGGTGAGAGGGAGGTGAGTGACACTGAGAGGGAGGTGAGTGACACTGAGAGGGAGGTGAGTGACAGTGAGAGGGAGGTGAGTGACAGTGAGAGGGAGGTGAGTGACAGTGAGAGGGAGGTGAGTGACTCTGAGAGGGAGGTGAGTGACAGTGAGAGGGAGGTGAGTGACGGTGAGAGGGAGGTGAGTGACACTGAGAGGGAGGTGAGTGACAGTGAGAGGGAGGTGAGTGACACTGAGAGGGAGGTGAGTGACACTGAGAGGGAGGTGAGTGACAGTGAGAGGGAGGTGAGTGACGGTGAGAAGGAGGTGAGTGACACTGAGAGGGAGGTGAGTGACACTGAGAGGGAGGTGAGTGACAGTGAGAGGGAGGTGAGTGACACTGAGAGGGAGGTGAGAGACACTGAGAGGGAGGTGAGTGACGGTGAGGAGGTGAGTGACACTGAGAGGGAGGTGAGTGACACTGAGAGGGAGGTGAGTGACAGTGAGAGGGAGGTGAGTGACACTGAGAGGGAGGTGAGTGACACTGAGAGGGAGGTGAGTGACAGGTGAGAGGGAGGTGAGTGACACTGAGAGGGAGGTGAGTGACACTGAGAAGGAGGTGAGTGACACTGAGAGGGAGGTGAGTGACAGTGAGAGGGAGGTGAGTGACACTGAGAGGGAGGTGAGTGACACTCAGAGGGAGGTGAGTGACAGTGAGAGGGAGGTGAGTGACGGTGAGAAGGAGGTGAGTGACACTGAGAGGGAGGTGAGTGACACTGAGAGGGAGGTGAGTGACACTGAGAGGGAGGTGAGTGACAGTGAGAGGGAGGTGAGTGACACTGAGAGGGAGGTGAGTGACACTGAGAGGGAGGTGAGTGACAGTGAGAGGGAGGTGAGTGACACTGAGAGGGAGGTGAGTGACACTGAGAGGGAGGTGAGTGACAGTGAGAGGGAGGTGAGTGACGGTGAGGAGGTGAGTGACAGTGAGAGAGAGGTGAGTGACAGTGAGAGGGAGGTGAGTGACAGTGAGAGGGAGGTGAGTGACACTGAGAGGGAGGTGAGTGACACTGAGAGGGAGGTGAATAACAGTGAGAGGGAGGTGAGTGACACTGAAAGGGAGGTGAGTGACGGTGAGAGGGAGGTGAGTGACAGTGAGAGGGAGGTGAGTGACACTGAGAGGGAGGTGAGTGACACTGAGAGGGAGGTGAGTGACACTGAGAGGGAGGTGAGTGACAGTGAGAGGGAGGTGAGTGACAGTGAGAGGGAGGTGAGTGACACTGAGAGGGAGGTGAGTGACAGTGAGAGGGAGGTGAGTGACACTGAGAGGGAGGTGAGTGACACTGAGAGGGAGGTGAGTGACACTGAGAGGGAGGTGAGTGACACTGAGAGGGAGGTGAGTGACAGTGAGAGTGAGGTGAGTGACAGTGAGAGGGAGGTGAGTGACAGTGAGAGGGAGGTGAGTGACAGTGAGAGGGAGGTGAGTGACACTGAGAGGGAGGTGAGTGACACTGAGAGGGAGGTGAATGACAGTGAGAGGGAGGTGAGTGACACTGAGAGGGAGGTGAGTGACGGTGAGAGGGAGGTGAGTGACAGTGAGAGGGAGGTGAGTGACACTGAGAGGGAGGTGAGTGACACTGAGTGGGAGGTGAGTGACAGTGAGAGGGAGGTGAGTGACAGGGAGGTGAGTGACACTGAGAGGGAGGTGAGTGACAGTGAGAGGGAGGTGAGTGACACTGAGAGGGAGGTGAGTGACACTGAGAGGGAGGTGAGTGACACTGAGAGGGAGGTGAGTGACAGTGAGAGGGAGGTGAGTGACAGTGAGAGGGAGGTGAGTGACACTGATAGGGAGGTGAGTGACGGTGAGAGGGAGGTGAGTGACAGTGAGAGGGAGGTGAGTGACAGTGAGAGGGAGGTGAGTGACACTGAGAGGGAGGTGAGTGACACTGAGAGGGAGGTGAGTGACTCTGAGAGGGAGGTGAGTGACAGTGAGAGGGAGGTGAGTGACAGTGAGAGGGAGGTGAGTGACACTGAGAGGGAGGTGAGTGACACTGAGAGGGAGGTGAGTGACAGTGAGAGGGAGGTGAGTGACAGTGAGAGGGAGGTGAGTGACACTGAGAGGGAGGTGAGTGACACTGAGAGGGAGGTGAGTGACAGTGAGAAGGAGGTGAGTGACAGTGAGAGGGAGGTGAGTGACAGTGAGAGGGAGGTGAGTGACAGTGAGAGGGAGGTGAGTGACAGTGAGAGGGAGGTGAGTGACACTGAGAGGGAGGTGAGTGACAGTGAGAGGGAGGTGAGTGACAGTGAGAGGGAGGTGAGTGACACTGAGAGGGAGGTGAGTGACACTGAGAGGGAGGTGAGTGACAGTGAGAGGGAGGTGAGTGACACTGAGAGGGAGGTGAATGACAGTGAGAGGGAGGTGAGTGACACTGAGAGGGAGGTGAGTGACAGTGAGAGGGAGGTGAGTGACAGTGAGAGGGAGGTGAGTGACAGTGAGAGGGAGGTGAGTGACGGTGAGAGGGAGGTGAGTGACAGGTGAGAGGGAGGTGAGTGACACTGAGAGGGAGGTGAGTGACAGTGAGAGGGAGGTGAGTGACACTGAGAGGGAGGTGAGTGACAGTGAGGTGAGTGACAGTGAGAGGGAGGTGAGTGACAGTGAGAGAGAGGTGAGTGACAGTGAGAGGGAGGTGAGTGACAGTGAGAGGGAGGTGAGTGACACTGAGAGGGAGGTGAGTGACAGTGAGGTGAGTGACAGTGAGAGGGAGGTGAGTGACAGTGAGAGAGAGGTGAGTGACAGTGAGAGGGAGGTGAGTGACAGTGAGAGGGAGGTGACACTGAGAGGAAGGTGAGTGACAGGTGAGAGGGAGGTGAGTGACAGTGAGAGGGAGGTGAGTGACACTGAGAGGGAGGTGAGTGACACTGAGAGGGAGGTGAGTGACAGTGAGAGGGAGGTGAGTGACAGTGAGAGGGAGGTGAGTGACACTGAGAGGGAGGTGAGTGACACTGAGAGGGAGGTGAGTGACAGTGAGAGGGAGGTGACACTGAGAGGGAGGTGAGTGACACTGAGAGGAAGGTGAGTGACAGGGAGGTGAGTGACACTGAGAGGGAGGTGAGTGACAGTGAGAGGGAGGTGAGTGACAGTGAGAGGGAGGTGAGTGACGGTGAGAGGGAGGTGAGTGACAGGTGAGAGGGAGGTGAGTGACACTGAGAGGGAGGTGAGTGACACTGAGAGGGAGGTGAGTGACAGTGAGAGGGAGGTGAGTGACACTGAGAGGGAGGTGAGTGACAGTGAGAGGGAGGTGAGTGACAGTGAGAGGGAGGTGAGTGACAGTGCGAGGGAGGTGACAGTGAGAGGGAGGTGAGTGACAGTGAGAGGGAGGTGAGTGACAGTGAGAGAGAGGTGAGTGACACTGAGTGGGAGGTGAGTGACAGTGAGTGGGAGGTGAGTGACAGTGAGAGGGAGGTGAGTGACACTGAGTGGGAGGTGAGTGACAGTGAGAGGGAGGTGAGTGACAGTGAGAGGGAGGTGAGTGACAGTGCGAGGGAGGTGAGTGACAGTGAGAGGGAGGTGAGTGACAGTGAGAGAGAGGTGAGTGACAGTGAGAGGGAGGTGAGTGACACTGAGAGAGAGGTGAGTGACAGTGAGAGGGAGGTGAGTGACAGTGAGAGGGAGGTGAGTGACAGTGAGGTGAGTGACAGTGAGAGGGAGGTGAGTGACAGTGAGAGGGAGGTGAGTGACAGTGAGAGGGAGGTGAGTGACAGTGAGAGGGAGGTGAGTGACTCTGAGAGGGAGGTGAGTGACAGTGAGTGGGAGGTGAGTGACACTGAGTGGGAGGTGAGTGACAGGGAGGTGAGTGACAGTGAGAGGGAGGTGAGTGACAGTGAGAGGGAGGTGAGTGACAGTGCGAGGGAGGTGAGTGACAGTGAGAGGGAGGTGAGTGACAGTGAGAGAGAGGTGAGTGACAGTGAGAGGGAGGTGAGTGACACTGAGAGAGAGGTGAGTGACAGTGAGAGGGAGGTGAGTGACAGTGAGAGGGAGGTGAGTGACAGTGAGGTGAGTGACAGTGAGAGGGAGGTGAGTGACAGTGAGAGGGAGGTGAGTGACAGTGAGAGGGAGGTGAGTGACAGTGAGAGGGAGGTGAGTGACTCTGAGAGGGAGGTGAGTGACGGTGAGAGGGAGGTGAGTGGCAGTGAGAGGGAGGTGAGTGACAGTGAGAGGAAGGTGAGTGACGGTGAGAGGGAGGTGAGTGACAGTGAGAGGGAGGTGAGTGACTCTGAGAGGGAGGTGAGTGACAGTGAGAGGGAGGTGAGTGACGGTGAGAGGGAGGTGAGTGACAGTGAGAGGGAGGTGAGTGACAGTGAGAGGGAGGTGAGTGACACTGAGAGGGAGGTGAGTGACTCTGAGAGGGAGGTGAGTGACGGTGAGAGGGAGGTGAGTGACTCTGAGAGGGAGGTGAGAGAGAGGTGAGTGACACTGAGAGGGAGGTGAGTGACACTGAGAGGAAGGTGAGTGACGGTGAGAGGGAGGTGAGTGACTCTGAGAGGGAGGTGAGAGAGAGGTGAGTGACAGTGAGAGGGAGGTGAGTGACAGTGAGAGGGAGGTGAGTGACACTGAGAGGGAGGTGAGTGACTCTGAGAGGGAGGTGAGTGACAGTGAGAGGGAGGTGAGTGACACTGAGAGGGAGGTGAGTGACTCTGAGAGGGAGGTGAGTGACAGTGAGAGGGAGGTGAGTGACAGTGAGAGGGAGATGAGTGACAGTGAGAGGGAGGTGAGTGACAGTGAGAGGGAGGTGAGTGACAGTGAGAGGGAGGAGAGTGACACTGAGAGGGAGGTGAGTGACAGTGAGGTGAGTGACACTGAGAGGGAGGTGAGTGACAGTGAGGTGAGTGACAGTGAGAGGGAGGTGAGTGACAGTGAGAGGGAGGTGAGTGACAGTGAGGTGAGTGACAGTGAGAGGGAGGTGAGTGACAGTGAGAGGGAGGTGAGTGACAGTGAGAGGGAGGTGAGTGACAGTGAGAGGGAGGTGAGTGACTCTGAGAGAGAGGTGAGTGACGGTGAGAGGGAGGTGAGTGGCAGTGAGAGGGAGGTGAGTGACAGTAAGAGGAAGGTGAGTGACGGTGAGAGGGAGGTGAGTGACAGTGAGAGGGAGGTGAGTGACTCTGAGAGGGAGGTGAGTGACAGTGAGAGGGAGGTGAGTGACGGTGAGAGGGAGGTGAGTGACAGTGAGAGGGAGGTGAGTGACAGTGAGAGGGAGGTGAGTGACACTGAGAGGGAGGTGAGTGACTCTGAGAGGGAGGTGAGTGACGGTGAGAGGGAGGTGAGTGACTCTGAGAGGGAGGTGAGAGAGGTGAGTGCCACTGAGAGGGAGGTGAGTGACACTGAGAGGAAGGTGAGTGACGGTGAGAGGGAGGTGAGTGACTCTGAGAGGGAGGTGAGAGAGAGGTGAGTGACAGTGAGAGGGAGGTGAGTGACAGTGAGAGGGAGGTGAGTGACACTGAGAGGGAGGTGAGTGACTCTGAGAGGGAGGTGAGTGACAGTGAGAGGGAGGTGAGTGACACTGAGAGGGAGGTGAGTGACTCTGAGAGGGAGGTGAGTGACAGTGAGAGGGAGGTGAGTGACAGTGAGAGGGAGATGAGTGACAGTGAGAGGGAGGTGAGTGACAGTGAGAGGGAGGTGAGTGACAGTGAGAGGGAGGAGAGTGACACTGAGAGGGAGGTGAGTGACAGTGAGGTGAGTGACACTGAGAGGTAGGTGAGTGACAGTGAGGTGAGTGACAGTGAGAGAGAGGTGAGTGACAGTGAGAGAGAGGTGACAGTGAGTGACAGTGAGATGGAGGTGAGTGACACTGAGTGGGAGGTGAGTGACAGTGAGAGGGAGGTGAGTGACAGGTGAGTGGGAGGTGAGTGACAGTGAGAGGGAGGTGACAGTGAGAGAGAGGTGAGTGACAGTGAGAGAGAGGTGAGTGACAGTGAGAGGGAGGTGAGTGACAGTGAGAGGGAGGTGAGTGACAGTGAGAGGGAGGTGAGTGACACTGAGAGGGAGGTGAGTGAGTGAGTGACAGTGAGAGGGAGGTGAGTGACAGTGAGAGGGAGGTGACAGTGAGAGGGAGGTGAGTGACAGTGAGAGGGAGGTGAGTGACAGTGAGAGGGAGGTGAGTGACACTGAGAGGGAGGTGAGTGAGTGAGTGACAGTGAGAGGGAGGTGAGTGACAGTGAGAGGGAGGTGAGTGACAGTGAGAGGGAGGTGAGTGACAGTGAGAGGGAGGTGAGTGACGGTGAGAGGGAGGTGAGTGACACTGAGAGGGAGGTGAGTGACGGTGAGAGGGAGGTGAGTGACACTGAGAGGGAGGTGAGTGACAGTGAGAGGGAGGTGAGTGACAGTGAGAGATGAGAGGAAAGACGAGGTGTCGACACCCGGTCCCAAGAGCAGCCCCAGCAGCAGCAGCAGCGATCGACATCCCCGACTGGAGGACTGACGCCCGCCCGCTGGCCAGCCCCCCCCCCCCCCCTTGTTCCACCGCACAGGGACAGCTGCCACTGGAAGTGGGGGGGGGGCTTCTCAAAAGTGTCGAGATGACAACGATGCGCCCTGAGACGGCCTCCGGCGTGTGGGAGAGCGCCCCATCAGCAACAGAGTCGGCGGCGGCAGCAGCAGCAGCAGGGTGACGGACCTCCCATTTAGAGCCCAGAAGACGACCCCTGGGCACGACCCCCTAACCCTGCTACGCGTGGTCGCCGGGCCGCGATCTCGCCCTCGTTGCTCTCGCCGCCGCCGCCGCTATCCACGTGAGCGCCCGCGAGAGGGCAGCAGGAGCACTACCACCACCACCACCACCCAGTGGCACTGACCACGACTGCTGCTGCTGGCAGGAGGCGCTGATGGTGGCAGCGCCCTTACGTTTGGTTTCGTGCCGAGCGGACTGCAGCGCTCCACGCCGCCGCCACAACAGCAGCAGCCACTCGCCACTAAGTATGCGGTGACGTCACCATGGCGCTTGTGCCAGGCCAGGTGCACCGAGACCACGTGAAGTGTCGAAGGTCTCGCTGACAGGATCAGACCCAGCAGGTGCCAAGGGGTGACTGAGATGACCGGCAGATGCACCGTGCTCCCTACCGCGCCCCACACGGCGCTCCGCTCGTTGTTGTGAGCGTCCCTCCGCTGATCCTGGAGGGCGACTGCCTCCAACCCGCCAGTAGCGTCCTTCACGAACTGCTCCACAGAGGCCGATCTTGACACCACTGGTACTTGCCATCGACAAGTCCACTCAGCGTCATCTCCTCAATAGCCCGTACCGCACCCGTTCAACCCTCTCGATCCGGTCAAACAGAAGCTGCTTGGGGCATGCGGGCGACACAAACTCGCCAACCCCCAAGTAAGCGCTGGGGGGGGGGGGTTCCTCTCTCTCGCCACGTGTTGGGCAATGGCGCTCTGACGCGGTGTCCGCCTGCTAGAGTTAAACACCGACAGTCTGGTACGTGGGTAAGCCAGTTGTGACCCCACGCGTGGTGGACGAACGCAGTGGTGTGGACGACAGTCGACAAGTGCCTATACAGAAGCACAAAAACGAGTTCTCCAAACAGGAAATCAACGAGCGAAGTTCACGGAAACACAGGAAGAGAGCCAGGGGAGCAGTCGCGATAGAAGAGCCACGAGGAGGCGCACGACCAGCGTTGGGCCGCATGACGCGCACGAGGTCCGGCAGCAGGCGGGGCAGGGAGGTCTCGCCGAAGGGCCCCGGGGCCGGCATGTGCCCCCCCCCCCCCACCAGCCCACCGTGTCGAGCCCGTGAACTCCTTCCATCGCAACTCGTATTGTGGGGTTCTTTCTCATTTCACCAGGTGAGGCCCCACTGAGCTACGCAATTTATTTTTCAGAAGCGACCTGGCTATCGCAAATGACAGCTCAACCGAGCGGCCTTTTCATCGTCGTGTTCGACATTTCTAGCAGCAGCCAAAATACTCTGGAACGCGTGATGTTGGATTCCTAAATGTGGAGGGGAAAACAAAAGCGGGGACAGCCTGGAGACAAATCCACGCGACCATGGGGAGATGTGTAAACCCAAATATACAGCAGCAGGCGTCAGCGTCGAACCCACGACCGTTTGTATACCAGGCGAGGTAGTTGACATCTCGTCACGGGGCCTCTCTTCCACTTCCAGCCCAGGGTGGAGTGAAATCTCGAGCGAGTGTTACACGGCTCCGGAAACACCAACCCGCCTCGTAGTCAACTCGGAACGCGACGCCACCGCACGGGATTCACTATCGCTCTCGGAGGGCGACTCAAGAGGGGCGAGGAACCACAGCCAGGCAGTGGAGCCGGCGCTACCAATTGGCCAAGTTCTGCAGTCCTCTATCCATGTGAAGTCTTTCAGCCAATTAGATGCGGGCAACCCACGCGTGCACGGGGTAACGATCCCAAACAGATGGGAGTTTAATCCACCTGCTGGAGCCTTCTTGGAAGCCGGGGTATGGATCCTCGACGCCCACCACAATTTGCCACGTTCGTTCCACCAAACCTCGCCGTCCAGCGCCAACCGCAGGCCATGTCCATGACCACCACCGCCGGGCGAGTGCAGCCCCCCCCCCCCCCCCCCACATCGTCATGCCGAGAGCTCAACACCACAGAACCTCCGATTAACACGGTTGGCCCCGCACGGTGCGAAAGAAATTCCACACACACAGCATACAGAACCATTCGTGCAGCCAGAATCATAACAGCTCACAAGGCGCGGGTGTGCAGCACTGCACGTACAGACGATGCTCTGGGCATTATCCAGACCACCAGCTCGAAAGAGCCAAACATGCAATCACCGCTCTTGTTAAGCCACCGACTCAAGGGACGGAGGCCACGTGACCGTCAACGTAGCAGCCAACGACACCCGGACAAGTAGCAAAACTTTTATTTATAAAAACAAATCTCTCCCCACATTCACCCCCCATCGCCTCTCGGGAGAGAACTGCGGTAGCAGCAGCAGCAATCGTCGTCTTCCTCAGCGGAGACTCGGGACCATTATCCACACAGTGAAGTTCCCCCCCAACCAAAACAGGCAGCCAAGCACCCCCCCCCCCCCCAGCGTGGGTGGTGGCGCGGTGGCGCCACTCGTGTCTTGCAGCAACAAGCTCTGGGACTCGATTCGTGGAGTTTGTCCGATCCCACCCCCCTCATTCTGCGTCAGAGTTCCTCGGTTTCCAACTCCCCATAGCTAAAAATGCCACGCAGCTTATCAGGCAAATCACGTCTCGGCTGAGATTACACAGCAGCAGCATCAGCCACGATTGTGGAAACTTGGCAGGACCCCTCCTGAAATTGTCTTGTGCGACGTAACGATGACATAGATTGACTATTCGTCCACCTAGAAAAGGTTCGTCTGTTTTTAGGAGGGTCTTGACAAGTGTTCACACGTGCAATTTCCAGGTCGAGAGTTATTGTTTTTGGCCAATACCAGTCACGCTGCGTCAATGGCTCTGGGAGAAACCCCACGCAGAACAGGGGGGACACCACCAGAAAGACTCCACACAGATGCCCAAGTTGGAAATCGAGCCCAGGTCCCTTCTTGCCGTGGCTCGAGCGTCACCACCGCACGCCACCCTCCCCCCCCACCTCGGGATGCTGGCGAGCGCTACCCCCCCCACCGCGGTTGGCGTGGCTGCCACCACTCCCACCGCCGCGCTGCTGCTGCCGCCACCGCAGAGATCTCGTTGGACTCCAGGTGCGATGTCTGCACGGGGCAGACCCTGGGTGCTGTGTCCAACCCTTGCTCGACTCTAGTATCTGTTCTTTCAGTTCCCGTTGCCGCACACGCACGCACGCGAACCGTCGAGTCGGCGCATCGAGGGAATCTCCGTGGCGCCGAGGGGTCTGCGGTCTGAGTGAATGGGCATACAGCACAAAAGTCTCGATGCCGCGCTGTGCAAGTTTCCGTCGAAATTCAGAGGCGTGGGGAGGGGGACCACACAGACGAGCGGGAAGGCGTCCGCAAGCGGCACCACCAACAATCGCCCAAGCTCCGTGGCCCCATATTGGGATGCTTGGCCAACTCCATTAGTGTTAACACGTCCACTGATAATGCTTCAATGTTTCTACAATAAAAGCTGTGTTTGCACTCAGTTGCCGATCCTGCCCAGGGTGGTGGGACGTGGCTAGTGCCACATCCGGAAGCCTGTTTCCTTGTGGAAATGTTTACACATTGCACCAAACCAGGTACTCATTTGTGGCCGAGTCAACGTAGGGGAGGGCCCAGGACCGGTTCAGATAATCGGGACTGGCGTTGGTGGCCGTGAGCGGGGAATCGAACTTGGTTCGCTGGGGTTATTGGCGCATCAAACGCTGCGCCGCCGCTCCCCGCAGACCCGGCAGCCGAGTGGAGACTCCCCGAGGGCACGACACGGACAGCGATGACGACACTGGGCACGACATGGACATCAATGACGACACGGACAGTGACAACGATGCCGACGCGACGCCCTCCGCGGTGCAATGGAGGCGGCTGCGGTACTTACCACACGTACCTGCGTCGACTCGACACCACAGGGAGGGAGGTGAGCGCGTCAATGACGTTACCCGCTAGCTATGGGTACTTTGCGAGTCGCTCTGCTTTGCAACGTCAACGCGGCATTGGGGGAGCCGCGGAGGGAGGGGGGGCACCAACGGGTACTTCTCCCGCCCCCCGCGCTCCCTCTCGCTCAAGCGGTTCACAATGGCTGTGGCGTTGCCACTCAGTTGGTCAAATATCTAATTTAACCGGAGCCAGGTTGAGGTAGCGAGTTTGACGTCGGAGGCATCCGTGACTCAATTTGTGGTCCAGGGGAGGGCGCTTCCTCCCGCCGTCGTCCTCATCGTCGGTCGCTACCGTCATGGCCAATGTCGTCAACATCACCTCTGTCATCACTTTGAGAATTGTTCTCATCTTCTCCGTCATATTCATCATCCTCACCATTATCCTCACCGTCACCTCCTCGCCGTCACGTTCATCAAAACTGTCGCAAGTCTCCATGCTCCATGGCGAGGACGCCGCTCCGCTGCTGGATGGCAGCGAGAGGCCGCCTCCCCCCCCCCCCCCCCCCCGATTGGTCTCTTCGCGTGTCACATGACCACCGCTGCCCCCCTTCGTTGGCGACTCAGCAAGGGGGGCGGGGAGGTGGAGGGCTGCAGGGGGTGGGTAGCCACGAGTCCCCTCGCCCAAGAGGCTGGTGCCGCTTCACACACGGCGCAAAAATAATTACACAACGGGGAACCTGCAACCAAGGGGGGACACGGGGGACCACAACACACGGCTCTTTTCGTAGCGGGCGGCAAGCACGGGGCGCGGCCACGTCCCACACAAGCCGGAAGATTCGTGAGGAATTTAAATAAAAAACCGGTCCGGTGCTCTTTTCGCGGGCAATTCCAGTGATATCGCTGCCTTCCCCCATACTTCACCACCGTGGCTCGTGCCAATTTGCTAGGTGGTGGGCGGGCATGGTGCCAGGTACCGGTTCCCCATGTTATACTTACACGTTAGTCGTGGCAGGAAATCAAAACTCGCATGGGCCTGGGGGGGTTCGTGGCGCAAAGTGCTAATCGCCGCGCCATCAATCCACTTCTCAAAACACTGTATAGATTGGGAAATGTTAACTCGGATCTTAATTCCGTTTCATGAACCCCGCGTGTCCCAATTGTCAACTGGAGAGGCGACGGGCAAAATCAACTTCACCAAAATGTGGGTGATGAACTTGGGCAGCCAGTTTATCGCCATCGCCACCGGGGCCCATCGGCAGGGTCCGGCTACACCCACCGGGAGAGGTTTGGCCAATTCCATTGTGAACAGGACTAGCGATGAGGTCACTGGGGTGCCGTGGACTCGACGCTAACCCCAACTAACCTTTACACTTTTACTCAAGAAACCTCCCGACTGGCGTGGGACAGTGCGGCCCCCCGGCGTGCCCCCCCCCCCCTCACACCCACCCCCAACAAGTTCTACTTCTTGGCGAACGAGATCTTCATTGCGTTGGTCGGCGTGATCTTGAATCCCTGTAGCGCGTCGCGCGCCGCCCCGGCCTGCGCGTCGTTCTCAAACTCCACGAAGGCGATGTCGTGCCGCCCCGGAACCAGACGCACCTCCTTGAAGCCTGGGAACCTGGGTTACAGTCCGGGTTCGGGGGTTTATAGCACACGTCACACGGGAGAAGATCGTGCCGGGAATTAGCACGCGGGGGATGCAGATGGGCGGGTGGAGTGTGTGTGCTGAACGGTGATTGAGTGAGCGATGGTGATTGAGGGAATGTGCAATTGAGTGAGCGATTGAGTGAGTGATTGAGCAATTTAGTGAGCGATTGAAAGTACATTTGAATGAGCGATTGAGTATGCAATTGAGCAACTGAGTGAGCGACCGAGTCAGTGACTGAGTGGGCGACTGAGTATGCAATAGAGTGAGCAACAGAGCGAGCAATTGAACGAGCGAGCAGCTGAGCGTGCCGATGAGCATGCGGGTGAGCGGGCGGGTGAGGAGCAACGCACTGGTTGAAGAGCATGGAGAGCATCATCTCGCTTGTCTCCTCGGGTAAACTCGTCAGGAACAGGATGTGGTTCGGTGGGTTCTCAGCCAGCTGTGCGCAGTTACACAGTCGCAGTCAGTCGCATGCGCGGCCAGTCATACGACTGCTGTAGTCAATCACACAATAACTCGAACAAGCAGACTATTTGTACAAGTCCTAAGTAATCGATTCCTGCGCGTGATTTCTGGGCGAGACGCAGCAAGCGCCGATTTCAAATGATGATGGATCGGAGCGTCGTCCTCCCCGCTCAACACCAGACCTGACCGCAATTCAATGCAACAATACATCCCCACAAGCTACGCCATCCCTGCCTGAACCAACTCTCCACGTACTAGCCCTACCCCACTAGCCCTATCCCTTACCCCACCAGGAAGAGCCCTACCACATTAGCCCCATTGCTACCTACATCTCGCCATGGTTGGCGCGACGTTAACGACCTCGCCTGGTATGCAGCAGGTAGTGGGTTCGATCCCGACCCTGATGCCTGCTGTATATTTGGAGTTTGCATGTTCTCCCCGTGGTCACATGGATTTTCCTCCGGGTCCTCCGGTTTTTCGCTCCACATTGAGCTGCGATATGTTTCCATGTGATAAGCCACTTCGTCGAGCTATAATTTGTGATAGCCAGGTTGCTTCTGAAAGAGAGCCACATAGCTCAGTGGGCCTGGTAAAATAAAAAGTTTGGAGTTTAGTTTACTCACCCTAACCCCCTCGCACCGGCCTTACCACCCTACGAGCCCCTAACCCACGAGTACCACCAGTCCCACCCCGAATCACCAGCACGAGCGCCACCACAATAGCACGAGCCCTGAGCGTATCCCCCCACCTCTTTCTCTACTCATGCTCTTGTCCATGCGTCTTGACACACAGTCGTTTGCAGGCACTCCACAAATCCCAACTGTGTTCGAGTTGTGTTGGTGGATGCGAGGAATGGGGGGGGGGGGGGCAGTACCTGCATGGGGGGCATAGCCCCTGATGGGGGCGGGACCATGCCCGGCGCCATCATCCCCGGGGGGGGCATGTAGGGCGGGGGGGCTCCGGGCATCCCGGGGGGCATGCCCAGCATTGGGGGCGGCTGCTGCACCACCATGGGGGCCATGGCCTGCATGCACGGTCACGCACGTCGGCGTCAATGCGCGTAGAAACACACAGACACAGCACACGCGGCGTGATCACACGCAACGCACACACTCGCGAGAGTGAACTCGCAAATAACAATCCACACAACACCCCGCAACATACCACCACTAGACACGCCACCATCCCTACAAACAAGACCCCTACACACATGCCACCATCCCTACAAACAAGACCCCTACTCACACACGACCCCGACACACATGCTACCACCCCTATACACCACCACCCCCATACACACACCCTCACCCGCGCGCTCACCATGGGAGCGGCAGGAGCGATGGCCGGTTTCTTGGCAGCCGCCGCCGCATCCTCCTTGGCCTTGCTCTTCTTGCGATCCTTCTTCTTCTCACGCTCCACGAAGGTGCCCTTCATCTTGGCGATGATGTCCGAGTCCACCTTCGAGTACTGGATCCGCTGCGAATGCACGCCGCCCCGGCGTCACTTGCAAGCCAGCGTCCGTTTGTCCCCTCTATGAGCCTCTGCCACTTGCAATTGACCGTAAGAATCTCGCGCGCGCGCGCGCGCACACACAAACCTTCACCTGCCTCTACGAGCCACGAGCTCGTCGCAGCACGGGAAGCTGCGCAAGGAGGCGAGGGTGGTGGTGGGAACGGCGAGAGTGGGTGCCACAGTGGCGAGACGTGAACTATCTCGCTTAGTATGCAGGTCGTGGGTTCGATCCCGACCCTGACGCCTGCTGTATATTCTGAGTTTGCGTGTCCCTATCAGTGGTCACATGGATTTTTCTCCGGGTCCTCTGGTTTTTCCCTCCATATTTAAGATCAACGTGCATTTAGAGTATTTGGCTGCTATGAATTTCCACATGATAATCCAATTGGTTGAGCTTTCATTTGTGGCCAGGTTGCTTCTGGTAAAATAAAAAAATTGTTTCAAGAGTTAGCGATGGTGCTGGAGCTGTAGGATTCTCACCATGGGCTTGTCATAGAAGGGGAAGCCCTGCATTGAGCGTAGGGCGTTGGTTGCGCTGCTGATCTCCTTGAAGATCACAAAGGCCTGGCCCCGCATCTTTAGCGTCTTGAGTGCCACAATGTCCAGGATCTGCCCAAACTGCGAGAAGATGGCGTACAGAGACTTCTTGAGCTCTACGGGGCGTGGCGAGAGAGAGACGGGGAGAGAGAGGAATACAGGAGGGAGAGCGAGACAGTGAGTTGAGGAAACCGTAGACGTCTTTGGATGAGAGTGGGCGCATGGGACTCCTCACAATGCCCCCTCTGCTGGCAGCAGGCGAAGCTCTGCGGGAGCCGCCCAGCCGACCTTCGCTCCGAGGCGTCACTCCTCCTCGGCTTCCTCCAGCCTGGGTATCTTACCACAGCCATCCGTGCTGTCGACGCCTTGGCTCTATTCAAGTCAAGACTCAATACCTCAATATAATGTATGTATATCCAAGTTACACAATTAAATACATAAAAATGACAATATCCTGTATTTATGTATGTTGAACTTCTTTCGCACCGTACGTAGCCAACCTGTGCTAATCGGAGGTGCGGGGTAAGGAGACCAAGCTAAACACAAAAAGCAATTCTGAAGAAATTAATTTAAATCTAGGTGATTTAAAATTGTCTAGCTCCAGTGGCTTCCTAATATCGGAGAGAAGTGTTCCTGATGGCCGCAGAAGAGTATCTGAAAGCATGCGATGCTTTCACGTAGTTTTCCCGATTACTAAAGTCCCATATAATAAAACCATTAAAATAGTCAATTAAATTTACAAAGGTTAAAAGACTCCCCACAATTCACTTGCATTGTTTAACCAATGACTATTTACTACGTGGAAAAGTTTACAAAAAGGAGAACCAATGGGCTCCTCTTTGTCCCCAGGAAACGCCGATGTGTACACAGGGACCAAGCCATTGTAGACACACTGGTCCACCCTAAATCGCATCCACTGCCCAAACCATGGCAGTGGATGCGGATGAAACCTGGTGCACAATGCAAAATATAAAACTCTCCCATAGTCTGTAACTGTGGTCATCAAGAACAGCCCGTACAACGTGTAACGAGGAAATGCACCAATCCACAAATACGAAAGAGACATCATAGCGATACACTCTGCTACTCCTTACGTGGGTATCTGTGATGACCACCTGAATGTGACATTGTAGTTGTTGCTCTGCATCTATATAAGTAAGAAGACTGGTCCGTCTGGCCTCAAGGCAGAGCCACCATATGGCCCATTCAGTTCACCATGGAAGTGGAGGGAAGATTCCTTCCCATTCCCGGACGTACTGCTTGGACGTGGCCCTTGGGGTAATGTAACACGTGGCGTATGCCGCAAGGTAAGATCAAGTTGCTTACTTAAATTAACAAAAATCCCCCGTGCATATACACACACACACACAGAGTGCTTGCACAAATGAACTACAACACCATGCAGATCTCGCAAACTCTGGCCATCCTTGGAGTGGCTTTTGACTAGCCATCGAACAAAGACGGTCACTGCGTTGCACGCTTTTAGATGCGCTTTTGCGGCCGTCTGGAACGCTCTTTCTTCCGATATTTGGAAACCACTGGAGCTATGCACTTTTAAATCCAAATTGAAAACTAATTTATTTAGAACTTTGTTTAGTTTGCTGCCCTTCCCCCACACCACATCCGATTAGCACGGCTGATTATGTACAGTTTGAAAGAAGTTCAGCAAACATACAACAGAGCAAGTATTGTAAGTGAATACCTATGAATGCTTCTAAGGTACACGAAGGGGTGGGTGGCCACCTTTAATGTTTACACACCCCGCAGCAGGTATTAATTTGAGGCAGAGTTTCCCTAGGGAAGACCCAGGACCAGTTGAGATAATAGTCAATGTCGGCGATGAGCAGTTGATAGTAGAGACGATGATAGCGGTGATGACGATTAAAATTGTGATGTGATGATATCCGAGTGATGTAGGCGATAAAGGTGCTAGTGGAGCCTATTTGAGATGACGACTACGATCGTAACGACAATGTAACGAAGGTTGTGGACCACTATTCAAGCCGCCGGGCCACGTGTTTCTGGCTGGCAGGAAGCGAGGGGACCTTTTCTGTTGGCGCTGATAAAGTGGACCTGGGGTCCCCACGGAGAGGGGCCCAAGTTGTCAGGCGCCGAGACGGTAACATGACCGACACAACCACCCACAGCCATCGCAGCGACAATCGTCGTGCCTGCTGTTTTCAAGGCAAAAGTTGGCAGTGTGTCTTATAAGCTGGTTGTGCGTGTTAGTGTACCAAGTGTGGTATTAGTGGGCATGCCATTGCGGCCGCCTGAATGGTACTGGCCACCCATCCCCTGGTGTCCCGTGCCTGCCTTGATAGGTGCTCACTAACAGCACTTCCACAAAAATTGTGTCATGGTTATGCAGGGGATCTCTAACTGTATTGACACCAGTCATACGTTCTGGTTTGAGTCCATCTTACTTCACGGAGCATCTTATAATGTAAAATGGGGTGGGCAGGACATTGTTAGGTGGGAAGATGGCCGATGGCCCAGACTGGTGATGGAATGGCAGCTGGTGGGAGACCACTGCAAGGACACGATCTAAACTATGAACTACACTTTTTATTATTTTACCAGGTAAGACCCACTGAGCTATATAACTATTTTTAGAAGCGATCAGGCTATCAAAAATTATAGCTCAACCAAGTGGCTTATCATTTGTAAATGTATAGCAGCCAAATACTCTAAACACATTGATTCTCAATGTGGAGGGAAAAACCGGAGGACCCGGAGTAAAATCCACATGACCACGGGGGGAGAGAAATGCAAACTCCAAATATACAGGGGTCAGATTCGGGATCGAACCTACAACCTCCTGTATATCAGGCGAGGTAGTGAACATCTCGCAAGAGCGAGGTGGGAAGATGGCAACGCTGGACCATGAGGGGATGGCAATAGCATGGGGAGAGCCTTCATCCAGCAGTGGAGCATGGCAGCTGCTGCTGGAGATATCCCACCGGGCTTCTCTATTGAAACATCTCTGTGCTGGAGGCTCTGGCCACATCACCCAGAACGCGGCTTGAGCAGCCTTGTGCTTGGATGGGCGACCATCCCCACCACCACCACCATGCATGCCCAGGTGTTACAGCTGCGCTTGCGGAGCGCCACGGTGGTGAGATGTTAACGGCCTCGCCTGGTATAGAGGTCTTGAGTTCGATCCCGATCCTCACACGCCTGCTGTGTATTTGGAGTCTGTGTTTCTCTCCCCGCACTACATTTCCACACGAGGATGGTGATAAGCCGCCACTTCGTTGAGCCGTCACGTGTGATGGCGAGGTCGCTTCTTAAACAGAGCTCCATAGCTCAGTGGGCATTACCTGTTAAACTAAAACTGTAGTTTTTGTTTTAGGCAGTACAGCAACATCGAGAGTTGCTCTGTAACTTCCCTCCGCCACCTTCACCAACCCGCACTGACCGGCGTGGTGACGTATGGCCAAAGAACCCTCACGATTAGCGCGCTGCGACGCGAACCTGGCGACTCGAGTTGGATTCCTGCTGACGGCCAACACAAGTGACGATTATCTGGACCGGTCCTGGGCCTCTCCTTGGTCGACTCATCCTCAATTTAGTAGCTGGTGCGGTGTGTAAACATCGCCACTGGGGAGACAAAGGCGGTCGAGGGTGGTGCTGGCGACCCACCACCTCGTGTGCCACAGTGCCGACCTTCATAGGTGCTGCTACTCGCTAACAGCACTTGCCCCACCAGTCTGTTCAGGCTACACGGGGATCTTTGTGTGTGTGTGTGTGGACACGCACCATCCTTCTTGATCTTCTCGTTGAGGTTGTTGATGTAGATCGTGTGGTTGGGCCTGATGTCCATGTCTGCGCTGCCGGGCCTGGGCGAAGGGGGGAGGCGGAGAACGCAGTTAGGAAAAGCCTAAAAAGCCTGCGGCCTAGTGCAACCGAGCCACTTGCAAGCGAATCCTGAACACGAATTACGGCAACGCGTGCAGCAGCATGCCCTGACGCTTCGTAGCTCCAATAAGACGAGACAAACATGGCAGATAAACCACAATCGTCGCGCTCTTCATTGATTGTTAAAAAAAAACCGCGAAACTCGAGTCCGCCTCGCATGGCGCGCCGTGAATGGGCCACTGCTTGCGCGAACGACTCCGGACAAAATAAAACGCCGCAGCCCAATAATGCGACCTTAATCGACTCGGGCGAAGTCAGCGCACAACAGGGTGGTGGTGAAAGTAACGGATGGCGAACTTTAGTCACCTTTTAGAGATGGATTGTAGAGACTTTTTCTGCTTCCTCACGCTGGCGCCACCAAGCAACGAGCCTCGCAGTCGTTCACAGCTCCTGAGTGCCAAGCGATTGGCCCAAATCGGTCACGTGCGCGAGTTCCACCCAACAGGAGTAGCCCCGCCCTCTTTCCCGGGCCCCCGCGCCCCACCCCCCATCCTCCTCCACCCCCCATCCTCCTCCACTTTCAAAGCGCGGAAAAAGCCCGGAGTGACTTCACGCGCAGTGAGTGGAAAAGGGAGACGCGGGGGGGAGGGAGACACGGGGGGGGAGGGAGACACGGCGGGGAGGGAGACACGGGGGGGAGTGGGAGGGAGACACGGGGGGGGAGGGAGACACGGGGGGGTGGGAGGGTGACACGGGGGGGTGGGAGGGAGACACGGGGGGGGGGGGAGACGCGGGGGGGGGAGGGAGACACGGGGGGGAGTGGGAGGGAGACACGGGGGGGGAGGGAGACACGGGGGGGTGGGAGGGTGACACGGGGGGGGGTGGGAGGGAGACTCGGGGGGGGGGGGAGACGCGGGGGGGAGGGAGACACGGGGGGAGGGTGGGAGGGTGACACGGGGGGGTGTGGGAGGGAGACACAGGGGGGGGGGAGAGTCACGGGGGGGGAGGGAGACCCGGGGGGGGAGTGGGAGAGAGACACGGGGGGGGGGGGGGGGAGGGAGACACGGGGTGGGAGGGAGACACGGGGGGGGGGAGTGGGAGAGGAGACACGGGGGGGGGGGGTGGGAGGGAGCCACGGGGGGGGGGGGGTGGGAGGGAGACACGGGGTGGGAGGGAGACACGGGGGGGGGGAGTGGGAGAGAGACACTGGGGGGGGGGTGGGAGGGAGACACGGGGGGGGGGGGGTGGGAGAGAGACACTGGGGGGGGGTGGGAGGGAGACACGGGGGGGGGTGGGAGGGAGCCACGGGGGGGGGGTGGGAGGGAGACACGGGGTGGAGGGAGACACGGGGGGGGGTGGGAGGGAGACACGGGGGGGGGGTGGGAGGGAGACACGGGGGGGGGGGGGGGGGGGGGTGGGAGGGAGACACGGGGTGGGAGGGAGACACGGGGGGGGGAGTGGGAGAGAGACACGGGGGGGGGGGGTGGGAGAGAGACACGGGGGGGGGGGGGGTGGGAGGTGAGACACGGGGGGGGGTGGGAGGGAGACACGGGGGGCGGTGGGAGGGAGACACGGGGGGGTGGGATGGAGACAAGACACGGGGGTGGGAGGGAGACACGGGGGGGGGTGAGAGGGAGACACGGGGGGGGGGGGGGGACACACGAGGGGCGGGGGGAGACACCGGGAAGAGTGAGACGCGGGGAGGAGGAGGAGACACACTCTCCTTGTTGACCCAGCAGAGTCACAGTCATACGAGTCTTTTTCAAGATGGTCCTACTAATTTGGGTTTTTATTTGTAGATGTTTTCAGTCAATCAACAAGTGTTTATACACGTGGGAGGAAATCGGAGTACAGATGGAATAAACAGATGGCGCTGACTCCACTTGCTATACTGCCTCCTCCTCGGCGCCCACTCACGAGTAGAAGGGAGTTTCACAACCCGTCTGTGTGTGATCCACCAACCCTGGCTGCTTCACAGTTATGGGTTACAGGCAGCCACGTGCAGGGTGGCCACCACTGGGACGAGGAGGGAGACAAGAGGAGGGAGACACGGGTAGGAGGAGGGAGACAAGAGGAGGGAGACACGGGTAGGAGGGGGGCGACATGGGGAGGAGGAGGGAGACACGGGGAGGAGAAGGGAGACACGGGGAGGAGAAGGGAGACACGGGGAGGAGAAGGGAGACACGGGCACGAAGATGGAGACACGGGGATGAGGAAGACACGATGAGGAAGGAGACACGGGTAGGAGAAGGGAGACACGGGTATGAGGAGGGAGACACAGGGAGGAGGAGGGAGACACGGGTAGGAGGGAGACGCGGGGATGAGGAGGGAGACACGGGGAGGAGAAGGGAGACACGGGCACGAAGATGGAGACACGGGGATGAGGAAGACACGATGAGGAAGGAGACACGGGTAGGAGAAGGGAGACACGGGGATGAGGAGGGAGACACAGGGAGGAGGAGGGAGACACGGGTAGGAGGGAGACGCGGGGATGAGGAGGGAGACACGGGGAGGAGGAGGGAGACGCGGGGAGGAGGGAGACGCGGGGATGAGGAGGGAGACGCGGGGATGAGGAGGGAGACACGGGTAGGAGGGAGACGCGGGGATGAGGGAGACACGGGGAGGAGGAGGGAGACACGGGGAGGAGGGAGACGCGGGGATGAGGAGGGAGACACGGGTAGGAGGGAGACGCGGGGATGAGGGAGACACGGGGAGGAGGAGGGAGACACGGGGAGGAGGGAGACGCGGGATGAGGAGGGAGACACGGGTAGGAGGGAGACGCGGGGATGAGGGAGACACGGGGAGGAGGAGGGAGACACGGGGAGGAGGGAGACGCGGGGATGAGGAGGGAGACACGGGTAGGAGGGAGACGCGGGGATGAGGGAGACACGGGGAGGAGGAGGGAGACACGGGGAGGAGGGAGACGCGGGGATGAGGAGGGAGACGCGGGGATGAGGGAGACACGGGGACAAATATGAGGACACGGGGAGGAGGGAGACGAGGGGAGGAAGAGGACAGGGGAAGGAGGAGGGAGACACGGAGAGAAGGGGGAGACACGAGGAGGGAGACACGGGGAGGGAGACACGGGGAGGGGGAGGGAGACACGGAGAGGGAGACACGGGGAGGGGGAGGGAGACACGGAGAGGGAGACACGGGGAGGGGGAGGGAGACACGGGGATAAGGAGGGATACACGGGGATGGGGCGGAGGAGGAGGGCGAAACTCGAGGAGGAGGAGGAAGGCATTCGGAGGAGGATGGAGACACCGGGGTGGGGGGCGGGAGGGAGGCACGGGAAGGAGGAGGAGTGGGTCCCGTCCCGCTGGCTGCTCAGTCCCCAGTGATGGGGCTGCACCGGCTGGGACCCCTTTGCGCCGGGGCTCTGCTCTGGGCCCTGCTCGCCGCCTCAGCCCCCCTCGGCCCCCGCAGGGAAAACGCGGCATCCTCCTCATCCTCATCATCCTCCTCCTCATCCTCCTCCTCATCCTCCTCATCCTCCTCCTCATCCCCGCGTGTGCGGGTGGGAGTCGCGGCTTGGCGGGGAGACACGGGGCGCGGGGCACAGCCGGTACGAGGGGCGGGGGGGTGATGACGGTGTGTGTCTGTGCACCTAGCCTGGCACGAGCGCTGTGGTGACGTCACCGCCATTCACAGGCGAACGGCGTTTGTTGCTGCTATTGTTGTGAGTGATGGTGGTGCGCGTTGTCGTGCCGCTGTGTGATGGGGTCTTTGATCTTCTGCAGTGGTTCTGTACGTGAGTGGTGGTGTGTGTTACGGTATACGTGCGATGTTGTGGTATTTGTAATGCAGTGTGCGAGTGATGGTTTGTGATGGGTTGATGGGCTGAGACCATCAACTGGCTACGCTTGAGAACCAGGCGTTTATAGGTCTCGACACGAGTATATGAGTACCTGTGAGTCTGTGGGTCTCTGTGTGAGTCTGTCGGTCTCTGTGCGAGTCTGCGGGTATCTGTGTGAGTCTGTGTGCGAGTCTGTGGGTCTCTGTGTGAGTCTGCGGGTCTCCTTGTGAGTCTGTGGGTCTCTGTGTGAGGCTGTGGGTCTCCATGTGAGACTGTGGGTCTCCCTGCGAGTCTGTGAGTCTCTGTGCGAGTCTGTGGGTCTCCGTGTGAGTCTGTGGGTCTCTGTGCGAGTCTGCGGGTCTCCTTGTGAGCCTGTGAGTCTCCGTGTGAGTCTGTGGGTCTCTGTGTGAGTCTGTGGGTCTGTGTGGGTAAGTCTGTGTCTCTTTGTGAGTCTCTGTGTCTCTTTACGAGTCTCTGTGTCTCTGTGTGAGTCTGTGGGTCTCCTTGTGAGACTGTGGGTCTCTGTGTGAGACTGTGGGTCTCTGTGTGAGTCTGTGGGTCTCCGTGTGAGTCTGTGGGTCTCCGTGTGAGTCTGTGGGTTTCCGTGCGAGTCTGTGGGTCTGTGTGTATAAGTCTGAGGGTCTCTGTTTGAGTCTCTGGGTCTCTTTGTGAGTCTCTGGGTCTCTGTGCGAGTCCCCTTTGCGACGGGCATAATGCGAGGCGCTGCCAGTCCTGAGTGGGCATCGATGGAGATGATGAGGATGATGATGTTAATGTTGATGTTGATGAGGATGATGATGTTAATGATGATGTTGATGAGGGTGATGAGGATGTTGATGAGGATGATGATTTTGATCATGAGGATGATGATGTTGATGAGGGTGATGATCTTCTTGGTTCTTTCGGTAAAGTCACGTAGAAGGGAAATAATAAGATAAAAATAAAACATAATTAAATACAATTCTCACGACGTTTCGGCCACAACGCAAGCAGCCGTCCTCAGGTGAAGAACAGGTCTGTCGGAAAGACAGCTGTCTTTCCGACAGACCTGTTTATTTTTATTATTTTATTATTTCCCTTCTACGTGACTTTACCGAAAGAACCAAGAAGATGAATCCCTGCGGTCACGAAAGCTTTAAATCGAGGATGATGATATTGATGAGGATGATGATGTTGACGAGGATGATGATGTTGCTCTTGAGGATGATGATATTGATGAGGATGATGAGAGACCCGAACCGTTCTTCGCCTCTATCGCCAAAGAATGTGTGACTGTAGTCACTTTGATAATTTGTTTTTTACCCTTTTATCTGGCAACAAAACTGACACCTTTTTTTACAAGGAGTCATGTTTGCATTGTCTTTGAGTTGTGCGCCTTTTGGCGTCATCTGGTCTAACACCATGTGAGACTCGGCTCTAAGGAAAGCTGTCTCGGGTGTGGACCAATCAATTGCAAGGACAGTGCATACATTATCAGAGTTGTGTTTTTTGTTTTCATTCCGGCTGCAGGTATTGCGGTCTATGCAAACATGACTCCTTGTAAAAAAACGGTGTCAGTTTTGTTGCCAGATAAAGGGGTAAAAAAACAATTATCATATTTTGCTACTGGCAAATGAGGTTCCAATGGTGTAGTCACTTTGTTGTGTTTAGTTTGTTGTGTTTAGTTTGTTGTGTTTAGTTTGTTGTGTTTAGTTTGTTGTGTTTAGTTTGTTGTGTTTAGTTTGTTGTGTTTAGTTTGTTGTTCTTCCCCCGCACCTCCGATTAGCACGGTTGGCTAATTACGGTGCAAAAAAAGTTCAACATACATACGTAAAGTACACGATGTTGATGATAGTGATGTTTATGTACGTTATGTACATAATGTTGATAATGTTCATGGTATTGATGATGGTGTGCATGATGTTGATAATGTGGGGAGCGGTGGCGCAGTGGTGAGCGCGCTGTGCTATGAACCCGGCCACCTGGGTTGGAGTTGGTTTCCATGGGCAGAAGGGACTTGCAGTGTGGAGGAGGAGGTGCGTGATTTGCCGTGAGAGATGAGGTTGAGGCAACCACCACTACCAACAACAACAACCATCACAACAACCACATCAACAAGGGGCGCTACGGTGGCTAGGAGATGTTAACTACCTCGCCTGGTGTACAGGAGGAATCGCGGGTTCGATCCCGACCCTGACGTCTGCTGCTGTATATTTCGAGTTTGCGTCTCTCTCTCGCTCCCCGTGGTCGCGTGGATTTTGCTCCGGGTCCTCTGGTTTTCCCCTCCGCATTTATAATCAACATCACGCGTTTAGAGTCTTTGGCTGCTATACATTCCGACACGAAAAGCCACTTCGCTGAGCTATTATGTGTGGCCGGGTCGCTTCTGAAAAAGAGCTGTGCGGCTCAGTGGGGCCTTAGCTGGTAAAATCAAAATACTCGTTTAGCTTTCGTTTAACAACCAATGACAACATAAACTAAACTTTGTATTTTACCAGGTGTAAGGCCCCACTGAGCTATGTAGCTCTCTTTCAGAAGCGACAGATGATAGCCCAGCGAAGTGGCTTATCACGTGGAAATTTATAGCAGCAGCCAAACACTCTGAAACGTTGGGATCGCACCGCGAGACTGACAGAGGGACACGTGGGGTAGAGGGACACGTGGGGTAGAGGGGACACGTGGGGTAGAGGGGACACGCGGGGTAGAGGGACACGTGGGGTAGAGGGACACGCGGGGTAGAGGGACACGCGGAGTAGAGGGACACGTGGGGTAGAGGGGACACGTGGGGTAGAGGGACACGCGGGGTAGAGGGACACGTGGGGTAGAGGGACACGTGGGGTAGAGGGGACACGCGGGGTAGAGGGGACACGTGGGGTAGAGGTACACGTGGGGTAGAGGGACACGTGGGGTAGAGGAGACACGCGGGTAGAGGGACACGCGGGGTAGAGGGACACGCGGGGTAGAGGGACACGTGGGTAGAGGGACACGCGGGGTAGAGGGACACGCGGGGTAGAGGGACACGCGGGGTAGAGGGACACGCGGGGTAAAGGGGGCACGCGGGGTAGAGGGACACGCGGGGTAGAGGGACACGTGGGTAGAGGGGACACGCGGAGTAGAGGGGACACGTGGGGTAGAGGGACACGTGGGGTAGAGGGACACGCGGGGTAGAGGGGGCACGCGGGGTAGAGGGACACGCGGGGTAGAGGGACACGCGGGGTAGAGGGACACGCGGGGTAGAGGGACACGCGGGGTAGAGGGACACGCGGGGTAGAGGGACACGTGGGTAGAGGGACACGTGGGTAGAGGGACACGCGGGGTAGAGGGACACGCGGGGTAGAGGGGACACGCGGGGTAGAGGGACACGCGGGGTAGAGGGGACACGCGGGGTAGAGGGACACGCGGGGGTAGAGGGACACGCGGGGTAGAGGGGACACGCGGGTAGAGGGACACGTGGGGTAGAGGGACACGCGGGTAGAGGGACACGCTGGTAGAGGGACACGCGGAGTAGAGGGGACACGCGGGGTAGAGGGACACGCGGGTAGAGGGACACGCGGGTAGAGGGACACGCGGGTAGAGGGGACACGCGGGGTAGAGGGGACACGCGGGGTAGAGGGACACGCGGGGTAGAGGGGACACGCGGGGTAGAGGGACACGCGGGGTAGAGGGACACGTGGGTAGAAGGGACACGCGGGGTAGAGGGACACGCGGGGTAGAGGGACACGCGGGGTAGAGGGACACGCGGGGTAGAGGGACACGCGGGGTAGAGGGACACGTGGGGTAGAGGGACACGTGGGTAGAGGGACACGTGGGTAGAGGGACACGTGGGTAGAGGGACACGTGGGGTAGAGGGACACGTGGGTAGAGGGACACGTGGGGTAGAGGGACACGTGGGTAGAGGGACACGTGGGTAGAGGGACACGTGGGGTAGAGGGACACGCGGGGGTAGAGGGACACGCGGAGGTAGAGGGACACGCGGGGTAGAGGGGACATCCTCGTCACGGTGAAGAGAGGAGGCCCTTATAGGCAGGAGGCGTCACGCCTGAAAGGGAATGGTGCCCCCCACCACCGCCCCCCCACTGCCCCCCCGCACCTCCCCCCGGTGGTCGAGGCTAATGACGGATCGGCAGCCAAAAGAGTGAAACGCGTCCCGTCGGACGGTCCGCCGCGGAGGTGGCGCCGCTGGCGTGGATCAGCTCGCGTGTGCAGGCAGCTTTGGTGGATTGGTCGCACATCGCAAGACCACGAGAGGATGGCGGTGGCCTAGGGAGGTCTTCGTCCAGCAGTGGAGAGAGCGCGGCGTGAGCTGTAGGGCCGCGTGGAGTTGGGATTATTCACCGTCGATTTTTTTTTTCCGGAGTTGAAAGGAAAAGAAAATTGGAACCAAATTTTCCGCGCGAGGGACTCGGAAATGGGGTCTGAGAGATAATTCACTACAGATGGGGGCTCCCCCCACTCTCTCTCTCTCTCACCCCTCTCTCATTCCTCCCTCTCTAACTCCTCTCTCTTACACTCCCTCTCTAACTCCTTCCTCTCTCTCTATCTCGCGTCTTCTTCGAGCGTTGGGGGGCCGGACAAGTACCAGCGTGGACGGCACCCTCGTGTTCACCTTCTGAACCGCTCGCTCGTCACCGTGGCATGCGCGATGAACACCACCACCACGTGACTTTTCTTTCTTTTTTACGATCACTGGAAACAAGAAGATGCTCGGTGTAGTCGGCACTTTCATCATTTCGTAATAAAAAAAATAACTTTGCTTTATGTTAACCCCCACCTCTCGTTCACTCTCTCGGTCACTCTCTCGCTCACTCTCTCGCTGTCTCGTTCTGCACGCAGCCCTTCTCGCAGTCCAAACGGCCTCCGACGGGTAGCTCATATCTGCATGCAGAGCTCCCCGTCATCTGCCACCGAGCACACGGCCTCCTCCATCGCCCACTGCTCCTGTCTTTCGGGTTGTGCGCGGTGCATTTAGCGGCACAGCGCGTGGATTTATAGTGATTGTTATTTGTTTGATGGTGACTTTATGTATTTCGTATCGGAATCGCCTCCAGTGCTGTTGCTGCTGGTGGCAATAAAAGTTGCTTAAAAGTCTCTACCCCCCCCCCTCTCTACCCCACCTCTCTCTACCCCCCCTCGTCCTTCTCTCTCTCTCTCACTCCCTCTCTCACTCAACTCCCGTCGGACAAATCTCCGCCTGTGTTCTCTTTGTCGAGATGTATATGGGGAGCGGTGGCGCAGCGGTTAGCATGCTACGCTACAAACACGGCAATCCGAGTTCGATTCCCGCAGACGGCCACCAACACCAGTGACGATTATTTGAACCAATTCTGGGCCTCCCCAAGGTAGACTCGGCTTCAAATGAGTACCTGGTGCAGTGTGTAGGAAACACCGCCACAGGGGAGAGAAAGGGTGACGGGAGTTGTTCCGGCCACACAACTCTTGCGAATGCTGTTTTCCGGGCCCACCAACAGCACTTGCCCTCACAGTGTGTTGAGCCTACACGGGGGACCTTTGTGTGTGTGTACACATTCGTGTGTGTGTACACGCGTGTGAGTGCGTGTGTTTACGTGTGTGTGTACACGCGTGTGTGTGTGCTTGTTTACGTGTCTGTGTGTGTACACATTCGTGTGTGTGTACACGCGTGTGTGTATGTGTGTTTACGTGTGTGTGTACACGCGTGTGTGTGTGCTTGTTTACGTGTCTGTGTGTGTACACATTCGTGTGTGTTTACGTGTGTGTGTACACGCGTAAACACATTCGTGTGTGTTTACGTGTGTGTGTACACGCGTGTGTGTGTGCTTGTTTACGTGTCTGTGTGTGTACACATTCGTGTGTGTGTACACGCGTGTGTGTATGTGTGTTTATGTGTGTGTGTGTACACGCGTGTGTGTATGTGTGTTTACGTGTGTGTACACGCGTGTGTGTATGTGTGTTTACGTGTGTGTGTGTACACGCGTGTGTGTATGTGTGTTTACGTGTGTGTGTGTACACGCGTGTGTGTATGTGTGTTTACGTGTGTGTGTGTACACGCGTGTGTGTATGTGTGTTTACGTGTGTGTGTGTACACGCGTGTGTGTATGTGTGTTTACGTGTGTGTGTGTACACGCGTGCCTAAGTGCGCGATTCTCCAGAGACTCCGAATTCTCTCTTTTCCTCAAAAACTTCAAACGGCGGGGAGCTTCAAAGCGGAGAGGGGAGGGGGAGGAGACGGGGGGAGGAAGGAGGGGGGAGGAAGGAGGGGGAGGGGTGGTGCCACTTGGCGGGGCTTGGGCAGATGGGAAGACGTTGGAAGCAGACGGACACTCACAGAGGAGACACTCACAGAGACAGACAACAACAACAACAACAACCGCCATTCGCCACTAAGTGGCGGTGACGTCACCACGACGCTTGTGCCAGGCCATGTGCACCTTGAGGCCACTTGAAGTGTCGAACGCCCGCTGGCAGGAGGTCACGGGGCAGACCCAGTTGCCACGGGTCGACTGACCGAGATGACCGAGATGACTGGCTGATGCACCACCTGTGCCCCCTACTGTACCAACTTGCTGTGCTTTAGTCACCCGGCGCTCCGCTCGTTGTTGTGAGCGTCGCTCCTCCGCCCTCCGTTGTTGTTGGAGGGCGACTGCCTCCAACTGCCCAGTAGCGTCCTTCACGAGCCTCCTCCACTGAGGCCGATCTTGACACCGCTGGTACCGGTCATCGGCAAGTCCACTCAGCTCCACGTCCTCCTGTACCACATCGCTCCATCTCTTCTCTAGCCCGTGCCGCGCCCGTTTAGCCCCCTCGATCCGGCCGAAGAAAAGCTGTTTAGGCATGCGGTGGCTGGGCATGCGGGCTACATGACCCAGCCAACGCAGCCTTGCCTGCCGGAGGAGCTCACCGATGGGACTTTGCCCAGATCTTTCAAGGATTTGTGAGCTCCTCACACAATCCAGCCTGGTTAAACCCAGGATAGATCGTAGGCAGGCCAGCCTAAATGTTTCCAACCGGCGAAGATGCTCCATTAGGGGGGTCCACGTTTTGCAAGCGTAGAGAAGGGAGGGAATGACCGTGGCCGAGAAGACCTGAAGCTTCGTGCGGAGCGACAGACCAGGTAGCTTCCACACAGCGTTACGCAACCGATGAAAATATATTGCCGCTCGACTGATTCGGAGTGAGACCTCTGCTGTTAAACTGGAGCCGGTCATAAGCACACTGCCCAGGTATGGTAAACTCTCCACTCTCTCCACAACTGCCCCATCACCGATTGGGAGTTGTGGGGGTGGAGTGTCCGATGGTACAAAATACCCAGGCAGGTGCTTAGTTTTGTTGGGGCTGATGGTAAGGCCCCACATCTTAATGGCACGCTCCAGTCTCAGCAGCAGCGTCTCTAGACAGACACTCACAGAGGCACACACAGAAGAGACATTCAGTAGCCATGAGGGGGACTCGAGCTTGGGACGCTGCGTTTGGTGCGCAGCGTGCTAACCACTACGCAACGTACACACCCGCACACACTCACACACCCACCCACACTCACACACTCACACATTCACACCCACACACACTCACACACTCACACACACTCACCCACATTCACACACCCACACACCCACATACACCCGCACACACTCATACACCCACCCACACTCACACACTCACCCACACTCACACACCCACACTCACACACCCACACACCCACATACACCCGCACACACTCGCACACCCACCCACACTCACACACTCACACATTCACACCCACACACACTCACACACTCACACACACTCACCCACACTCACACACCCACACACCCACACACCCACATACACTCACACACCCACCCACACTCACACACTCACACACCCACTCACACTCCCACACCCACACACCCACACACCCACACACCCACATACACCCGCACACACTCGCACACCCACCCACACTCACACACTCACACACCCACCCACACTCACACACTCACACACCGTGCACAAAGACACGTACATAGACACATTCTGTATGTACACGACGAGTGCTGATGGCGATGATGGCGATGATGGCAATGATGGTGATGGGACTGATAGCGATGGCACTGATGGTCATGGCATTGCTTTTGTTGCTGATGTTGCTGATGATGGCGATGTTGCTGATGATAGTGTTGCTGCTGATGATGTTGCTAATGATGATGATGGCGATGTTGATGATGGCGCTGATGGTGATGTCACGATTGGCGATGATGATAATGATTTCAAGCTTTCGTGACTGCAGGAATCCATACTCTTTGGTTCTTTCGGTAAAGTCACGTAGGTAAAATTTTTTTCTTCCAATGTGACTTTACCTAAAGAACCAAAGAGTATGATGATGATAATGTCGCTGATGATGATGGCGCTGATGATGATGATGGCACTGATGGTGATGTCGCTGATGTTGATGGCATCAGCCAGGGTTGCTGGATAACTCTCTGAGGAGGCATGGAGCGAAGGGAACGCGGCCGGGAAAACATCACTATCATCAGCATCATCATCAGCAGCAGCAGCAGCAGAAGCACGCTCAGCCTCAGGGCGACGAGCCTGCAGGGTTCCCGCTCCTCTTCAGCCTCCCGGACTTTTCCCAAGCCGACTTCAACCAACCCAACCCCAACATCCAGGTGAGCTCCACCCCAACATCCAAGTGAGCCCCACCCCAACCACCAGGTGAGCCCCACCCCAACATCCAGGTGAGCCCCACCCCAACCTCCAGGTGAGCCCCACCCCAACATCCAGGTGAGCTCCACCCCAACATCCAGGTGAGCCCCACCCCACCATCCAGGTGAGCCCCACCCCAACCTCCAGGTGAGCCCCACCCCAACATCCAGGTGAGCCCCACCCCACCATCCAGGTGAGCCCCACCCCAACCTCCAGGTGAGCCCCACCCCAACATCCAGGTGAGCCCCACCCCCACCATCCAAGTGAGCCCCACCCCAACCTCCAGGTGAGCCCCACCCCAACATCCAGGTGAGCCCCACCCCAACCTCCAGGTGAGCCCCACCCCAACCTCCAGTTGAGCCCCACCCCACCATCCAGGTGAGCCCCACGCCAACCTCCAGGTGAGCCCCACCCCAACCTCCAGGTGAGCCCCACCCCAACCTCCAGGTGAGCCCAGCCCCAACATCCAGGTGAGCCCCACGCCAACCTCCAGGTGAGCCCCACCCCAACCTCCAGGTGAGCCCCACCCCAACCTCCAGGTGAGCCCCACCCCAACCTCCAGGTGAGCCCCACCCCCAACCTCCAGGTGAGCCCCACCCAACCTCCAGGTGAGCCCCCCCCCAACATCCAGGTGAGCCCCACCCCAACATCCAGGTGAGCCCCACCCCAACATCCAGGTGAGCTCCACCCCAACCTCCAGGTGAGCCCCACCCCAACCTCCAGGTGAGCCCAGCCCCAACCTCCAGGTGAGCCCCACCCCAACCTCCAGGTGAGCCCCACCCCAACCTCCAGGTGAGCCCCACCCCAACCTCCAGGTGAGCCCCACCCCAACCTCCAGGTGAGCCCAGTCCCAACCTCCAGGTGAGCCCAGCCCCAACCTCTAGGTGAGCCCAGCCCCAACCTCCAGGTGAGCCCCACCCCAACCTCCAGGTGAGCCCCACCCCAACCTCCAGGTGAGCCCCACCCCAACCTCCAGGTGAGCCCCACCCCAACCTCCAGGTGAGCCCCACCCCAACCTCCAGGTGAGCCCCACCCCAACCTCCAGGTGAGCCCCACCCCAACCTCCAGGTGAGCCCAGTCCCAACCTCCAGGTGAGCCCAGCCCCAACCTCTAGGTGAGCCCAGCCCCAACCTCCAGGTGAGCCCCACCCCAACCTCCAGGTGAGCCCCACCCCAACCTCCAGGTGAGCCCCACCCCAACCTCCAGGTGAGCCCCACCCCAACCTCCAGGTGAGCCCCACCCCAACCTCCAGGTGAGCCCCACCCCAACCTCCAGGTGAGCCCAGTCCCAACCTCCAGGTGAGCCCCACCCCAACATCCAGGTGAGCCCAGCCCCAACCTCCAGGTGAGCCCCACCCCAACATCCAGGTGAGCCCAGCCCCAACCTCCAGGTGAGCCCCACCCCAACCTCCAGGTGAGCCCCACCCCAACATCCAGGTGAGCCCCACCCCAACCTCCAGGTGAGCCCAGCCCCAACCTCCAGGTGAGCCCCACCCCAACCTCCAGGTGAGCCCCACCCCAACATCCAGGTGAGCCCCACCCCAACCTCCAGGTGAGCCCCACCCCAACCTCCAGGTGAGCCCCACCCCAACCTCCAGGTGAGCCCAGTCCCAACCTCCAGGTGAGCCCAGCCCCAACCTCCAGGTGAGCCCCACCCCAACCTCCAGGTGAGCCCCACCCCAACCTCCAGGTGAGCCCCACCCCAACCTCCAGGTGAGCCCAGTCCCAACCTCCAGGTGAGCCCAGCCCAACCTCCAGGTGAGCCCCACGCCAACCTCCAGGTGAGCCCCACCCCAACCTCCAGGTGAGCCCCACCCCAACATCCAGGTGAGCCCCACCCCAACCTCCAGGTGAGCCCACCCCAACCTCCAGGTGAGCCCAGCCCCAACCTCCAGGTGAGCCCCACCCCAACCTCCAGGTGAGCCCCACCCCAACCTCCAGGTGAGCCCAGCCCCAACCTCCAGGTGAGCCCAGTCCCAACCTCCAGGTGAGCCCCACCCCAACCTCCAGGTGAGCCCCACCCAACCTCCAGGTGAGCCCAGTCCCAACCTCCAGGTGAGCCCCACGCCAACCTCCAGGTGAGCCCCACCCCAACCTCCAGGTGAGCCCAGCCCCAACCTCCAGGTGAGCCCAGCCCCAACCTCCAGGTGAGCCCCACGCCAACCTCCAGGTGAGCCCAGCCCCAACCTCCAGGTGAGCCCAGTCCCAACCTCCAGGTGAGCCCAGCCCCAACCTCCAGGTGAGCCCAGCCCCAACCTCCAGGTGAGCCCAGCCCCAACATCCAGGTGAGCCCCACCCCAACATCCAGGTGAGCCCAGCCCCACCATCAGCGAGGGGTTGGTGGATCACCACACACACAGACAGACGTTGTCGTGAGGCTCCCTTCTACCCCGTGGGTGGGGACGCAAGATCCCCGTACCCCTGGCTCCTCTCCACAAGGCGCCGCAGCAAAGTGTTCACGCCACCCGTCCCAGACTAGGAATCAGTTTTTATAGTGGAGGGATCTAATGAGCTCTGAAGCTCTTTTTGCCAGACGTCACAGCGACGTCTGTACGGGGATAGAGCGTTGCCCCCTCGCATGCGTTGGTTTTCTCCAGGTGCTCGGGTGTCCTCCCACGTGTATAAACGCTTATGATAAACTATTAACCAGGTAAGGCCCCTTGAGCTAGTAGCGACCTTCCCATCACATCCGATAGCTCAACGAAGCGGCGGCTTATCGCGTCGAAATGTAAAGCAGCGAATTACGATGCAAATACTATTAATTGGCAGATAACCACCGTAATATGGAAAAAAAAAACTACAGAGCTCGGGTGATTGCCATCAGCGCCGGGGGTCTCGGCGGAGTTTGGTTTACTGCATGACGGTTTGGGGGGCAGACCTTCATCCAGCAGTGGAGAGATGCTGCTCCTGCCACTGCGGCTGTTACCGTTGCTTCTGTTACTGCCGCCGCCGCTGCTTCGGATGCCCTCCCTCCCACGTGACCATCGACCTTTGACTCCCCCCCCACCCCCTCCCCGTCCACCCCCAGGTGACCATTGAGGTTGTGAGCAGCCCCGAGATGGAGCTGGACCTGGTGACGGGGGCCGGCCGCCTCGATTGGCCGGAGCCGCGCGGCGACGCCGCCGCGGCCCAGCTGGCGCCCCGCTGGCTCCTCCAGCTGTGGCAGAGGTCGCTCGAGGGGTCAAAGGGTGCCAAGGCCGGCGGGCAATCGGATTACAGCTACTACGAAGAGGAGGATGGCGAGGATGATGATGATGTGGGGTACGGGGACGGTGCGGACGATGGGGCCTTTTTTGGGTCACGCAAACGAGGGCAGCAGATGGTGAGCGTCGGGGAGGAGGAGGGGGCTACTCACGAAGACGACGACGACGGTGATGATTATGGTGAGTGCGTGCATCTGTGCGTGCGTCTGTGCGTGCGTCTGTGCGTCTGTGCGTGCGTCTGTGCGTGCGTCTGTGCGTCTGTGCGTCTGTGCGTGCGTGCGTGTGTGGTGGGAGCGATGGCGCAGCGGTTAGCGTGCCACGCTACGAATCCGGCGACCCAAGTTTTATTCCCCGCTCGCGACTACCAACACCAGTGATGATGGTCAGAAATGGTCCTGGGCCTCCCCTAGGTCGACTCAGCCTCAAATGAATACCCGGTACAGTGTATAAACATCGCCATTCGGGAGGCAAAGGCAGTCGGGCGTGGTGCTGGCCACCCACCCCCTGCATGTGCCGTGCTGGCTTTGATAGGCACCACTTGCTAACAGTACTTGTCCCAACGGTCTGCGTGGGCTACACGGGGGATCTTTGTCTTTGTAGGGGGGGTGGCCCGGCCTGCTCGACCAGCAAGACGCAGGCCTGCCCCGGTAGCACCACAACACCAAAGATAAAGATCCCCCGTATAGCCTCAACATATTGTTGGGGCAAGTGCTGTTATTGAGCACCTATGAAGGTCGGCACTGAACGCGAGGAGGTGGGTGGCCATCAACCACCTTTGTCTCCCCAGAGGCGATGTTTACACATCGCACCAGGTCCTCATTTGAATCGACATAGGGGAGGCCCAAAACCGGTTCAGATAATCGTCACCGGTGTTGGCCGTGAGTGGAAATCGAACTCGAGTCGCCGGGTTCATAGCGCAGCGCGAAAGCTGTTGCACCACAACACCACCACCACCACCACACGCACAACAACAACGACAGTGGTTAGAACGGTGGGTGGTGGTGGTGCTGTGGTGTGGTGCTGACCCCGTGCTGTGTTGCAGGAGACGCAACGTCACCTCCACCCAGCGCAGAGACACGGCTCAACAACACCGGTGGGGCCACGCACGCAGTGCCAACACCACCCCCATCACCACCCCCATCACCACCCCCATCACCACCCCCATCACCACCCCCATCACCACGCCCATCACCACCCCCATCACCACCCCCATCACCACCCCCATCACTACCCCCATCACTACCCCCATCACTACCCCATATCACTAACCCCCATCACCGCCGCCAACACCACCCCGATCACCACCCCGAACACGACTGCTTTTACCACCCTGATCACCACCAACTAACACCACCCCCAACACCACCCCCATCACTTCCGCGATCACTACCGCTACCGCTAATACTACGGGTGGTGGTGGTGCCGTTGTCTCCGCAGGGGCCGACAGCTGTGAGCGGTGGGCGCGATGCGAGCGCGGCGCGGCTCTGCGCCCGTACGTGCGCCGCGTGCTCGCCGAGCTGCCCTCCTGCCCCTGCGTCTACCCCCGGCAGGTCGCCTACGGCAGCGCCCTCATCCCAGAGCCCCCCGAGTCGGGGGCAGCAGCGGCGGGGGGAGCATTGGGGGCAGCAGAATCTTTAGACCCATTATCACGGCCGCAATCGCCGCAATCGCCGCCACCCTCCTCCTCCTCGTCCTCGTCCCCAGCCGCGCCGCGCTCGCTCCGTGCGCTGGCGCGACGCGAGCGGACCACACGAGCGCCTGGACGTCTACAAGCCCTCGGCACGCTACTGCATCCGCTCTGTCCCGCACACGCAGCCCGCTCCCTCCTCCTCCTCGTCGTCACCGAGGCACCGCCGCCGCCCGGCTCCCACCCACGCTCCTCCTCTTCCGTCGTCGTCGTCGCCGCTGCTGGCGGCTCAGCAGTGCTGCTACGACGCGGCGATGCGCCTCGTGACCCGGGGGCCCGGCGCGGGCACGCCCAGCCTGGTGAGCGCCGACCTCTCCCCCGAGCTGCACCGCCGCCTCGACGTGGGGCCGTGGCTGGCGTGCCGCGGGGACTGGAGCCGCTACAACGCCGCGCGGCCGCCCAACAACCGCCGCGGCTGCGCCGAGAGCCCCCGGGACGCCGACTTCGACCGCCTCCTCGGGCAGGCCGGGGACTTCTGACTCCACTCGTGCGTGGGTGGGGGGAGATGGAATTTATACTGGAGGAGGAGGAGGAATCCGATGAACTGTGAAGCTCTTTTTCACGGATGTCGGGTAAGGGGTGGGGGGTGGGTTGGATCGCGGGAGTCAGAGTGTTTCGGAGAGTGTATGTGAGAGAGCGTGAGTGTGTGTGTGAGAGAGAGTGTGTGAGAGTGTGAGTGTGTGAGAAAGAGTGTGAGTCCCATCGGTGAGCTCCTTCGGCAGGCAAGGCTGCGTTGGCTGGGCCATGTAGCCCGCATGCCTAAACAGCTTTTGTTCGGCCGGACAGAGGAGGCTAAATGGTCGCAGCATGGGCTAGAGAAGAGATGGAGTGATGTGGTACAGGAGGACGTGGAGCTGAGTGGACTTGCCGATGACTGGTGCCAGCGGTATCAAGATCGACCTATGTGGAGGAGGCTCGTGAAAGAGGCTGCTACTGGGTAGTTGGAGACAGTCGCCCTCCAACAACAACAGAGAGCAACAACAACGGAGAGCAGATCTGGACAAAGTACCATTGGTGAGCTCTTCCGGAAGGCAAGGCAGCGTTGGCTGGGTCATGTAGCCAGCATGCCCGGCCACCGCATGCCCAAGCAGCTTCTGTTTGGCCGCAGAGAGGGGGATAAACGGGCACGACGAGGGCTGGAGAAGAGATGGAGCTGATGCGGTAGAGGAGGATGTGGAGCTGAGTGGACTTGCCGATGGACGGTACCATCGGTGTCAATATCGGCCTCTATATAGAAGCCTCGTGAAGGACGCTGCTGGGCAGTTGGAGACAGTCGCAACAATGGAGGGCAGAGGAGGGACGCTCACAACAACGAGTGGAGCATTGGGTGGTTAAAATACAGCAAGTTGGCACAGTAGGGGGCACAGCTGGTGCATCTACCAGTCATCTCAGTCAACCTATGGCACCTGGGTCTGTCCCGTGACCTGTCAGCGAGCCTTCTATACTTCACGTGGCCTCAAAGTGCACCTGGCCTGGCACAGTCGCCGTGGTGACGCCACTGTCACTTCATGGCGAATTGCGGGTATTGGTGAGAAAGTGAGAGTGTGTGAGAGCGTGTGAAGGGGGGAGTGGTGGCGTAGTGGTTAGTGCGCTGCGCTAAAAATCCAGCGACCCGAGTTCGATTCCCGCTCACGGCCACCAACACCAGTGACGATTATCTAAACCGATCTTGGGCATCCCCTAGGTCGACTCAGCATCAAATGAGTACCAGGTGCGATGTGTTAACATCGCACCTGGTGAGACAAAGGCGGCCGGGCGTGGTGCTGGCCATTCATCCCCTCGTGTGCCGTGCCAGCCTTCATAGGTGCTTGCTCACAGCGCTTGCCCCAACAGTCTGTTAAGTCTAAACGGAGGATCTTTGTCTTTGTGTAAATGCTGACATGTGAATGAATGTTTGATGTCCGTGTCTCAGTGTCTTTGTCCGAGTGTCTGTGACCCTGTCTCCCCTGTCTGTGCCTGTCTGTGTGTGTTTCAGGGTCTCTCTCTCCCTGTGCTTCCTAAGTCTGTGTGCGATTCTCTAAGTGGAGGAGGGGGCTGGGTGTGTGGGGGGGTACCGTGTCACGTACTATCTCCCCAGCACGACCTTCTCGGTTCGACTCCGTGGGGCTGCCCCCCCAGGCGATGGGGCTGCCCCCCCAGGCGATGGGGCTGCCCCCCCCAGGCGATGGGGCTGCCCCCCCAGGCGATGGGTCGCGGTGACCACGGCAACCTCTCTGACGACGCTGGGGGGGGGGGCGGTCACGGTCTCCGCGACGTCGCTCGCAAGACGTTGGCCATTGTGTGCCGCCCGCGTCACGGTCAACGATTCTGTTCACGAACGATCCGGAGAGTTGATTCCATTTGGGATAAACGGGCAGCAGCAGCAGCGGCAGCAGCCACATCGCTCCCCCCTACGGCGACACTCTGGCAGGAGCCTCCTGAAAAGCAGCGAGCGGTCGTCCTTGCCCCGCACCTCCCGTGAGCGCGGGTGGCTATTCATGGTGCGAAAGAAGTTCAACATACACGACACGATACACTACAATACACACGACAAAATACACTACACTATACACTACACTACACACTACAATACACACTACACTATACACTACAATATACACTACAATATACACTACACTATACACTACACTACACACTACAATACACACTACACTATACACTACAATACACACGACAATATACACTATACACTACACTACACACTACAATACACACTACACTATACACTACAATATACACTACAATATATACTACACTATACACTGCAATACACACTACAATATACACGACACGATACACTACAATACACACGACAATATACACTACACTATACACTACACTATACACTACAATACACACTACAATATACACTACACTATACACTACACTATACACTACAATACACACTACACTATACACTACACTACACACTACACCATACACTACAATATACACTACACTATACACTACAATATACACTACACTATACACTGCACTATACACTACACCAGAGGTGGGACAAAGTCATTGTTATGCAAGTCCAAGTCGAGTCTGAAGTCATCAAATTCATGACTCGAGTCTGACTCGAGTCCAAGTCACATGACTCGAGTCCACACCTCTGCACTACACTACACTATACACTACAATACACACTACACTATACACTACACTATACACTACACTAAACACTACACTATACACTACAATACACACTACAATATACACTACACTATACACTACACTATACACTACAATACACACTACAATACACACTACAATACACACTACACTACACACTACACTACACACTACACTATACACTACACTATACACTACAATATACACTACACTACACACTACACTACACACTACACTATACACTACAATATACACTACACTATACACTACAATATACACTACACTACACACTACACTACACACTACACTATACACTACACTATACACTACACTACACACTACACTATACACTACACTATACACTACACTATACACTACGAGAGCATTGAGACTCGCCGAGGCTGTGCGGGGTTAGCGGGTGGAACAGCAACGATGATGATGATGATGATTTGTTGTAAAAGGGGGGGATGGGGGGTTGTGGTTTGGTAAACACTGTACAATAAATTATGATTGTAAAACCTGTGGTTTATGCAGTTCTATATATACAAACACACACAAAGACAAAGATCCCCCGTGTAGCCTTCCACATACTATTGGGGCAAGTGCTGTTCGCGAGCGCCTATAAATACCAGCACAGCACACGAGGGAGTGGGTGGCCAGAACCACCGCGCACGGCCGCATTTGTCTCCCCAGTGACGACTTCTACCCAATGCCCCAGAAACACATTGGAGTCGACTTCGGGGAGGTCCAGGAATGGTTCAGATCATCGTCACTGGCTCCGTTGGCAGCGAGTGGGAATCGAAATCGGGTGACCTGGTTCGTAGCGCAGCGTGCTAACCGCTGCGCCACCACTCACCACAGACAAAGATCCCCCGTATAGCCTAAACAGACTGCTGGGGAAAGTCCTGTTAGTGAGCAGCACCTATGAAGGACGGGGGGGTGGGTGGTCAGCGCCACGCCCGGCCGCGTTTGTCTCCCCAGTGGCGATGTTTACACACCACTCCAGATTCATTTGAGGCTGAATCGGCCTAGGGGAGGCCCAGGTCCGGTTCAGATCATCGTCACCGGTGTCGGCAGCGGGAATCGAACCCGGGAGACCCGGTTCGTAGCGTAGCGCTAACCGCTGCGCCACCACTCCCGTCAGGCGCCACACGGGCACGCAGCCCGACTGACCCAACACACAAAGACAAAGATCCCCCGCGAAGTCGCCACGGGCTGTCGCGGCAAGTGCTGTTGGCGAGCGCCTGCGACACAGCGCACGAGGGGGTGGGGCGGCCAGAACCGCCACGGCCCGGGGACTCATTCGAAGCCGAGTCTACCTTGGGGAGACCCAGACCCGGTTCAGGAAAACGCCACTGATGGTAGCCGTGAGTGGGAACAGTCACAAGTTTCCTCGCCGAGAGAGCTAACCACTGCGCCACCGCTCCCCGCTTTACGCACAATCCATGGCACCCCAATGAGATCCACATGGGCACAACCCCCAACCGCTCGCTGTCTCCACCACCACCATTAGCACCAACACTGCCCCGACATCATTACTCACACCAAAGACAAAGATCACCCGTGTGGCCTTAACGGACTGTAGGGGCAAGTGGTGTTAGCGAGCACCTATTAGGGCCGGCACGGCACACGAGGGGGTGGGTGGCCAGCACCACGCCCGGCCGCCTTTGTCTCCCCAGCGGCGATGTTGACGCAGCGCTTTGCGCATCCACCGCCCTCTCTCTGCCCGTTGTTGACTTTGTCTGCGAGCGGCCTCCGCGCTTTGATGTGGGGGAGCTGAACAATCGAGCCACGTGGTCGGGGTAGTCGGGGAGTGAGGGCATGGGGGAGCAGAGGGGGGAGGAGAAGGGGGAGAGGGGGAGGAAGAGAGGGGCGGGGAAGAGAGGGGGATGAAAAGGGAGGAGAGGGGGGAGTGGAAGAGAGGAGGAGGAGGGTGAGGGAGGAAGTGGCGGAGAGGGGGGGGAGAAGGGGGAGTGGGGGAGAAGAGGGGGGAGTGGAAGAGAGGGGGAGGAAAGGGGGGAGTGGAGGAGAGGGGGAGGGGAGGGGGGAGTGGGAGAGAGAGGGGAGGAGAGGGGGGAGTAGAAGGGAGGGGGAGGAGAGGGGGGAGTAGGGGAGACAGGGAGGAGAGGGGGGAGGTGGGGGAGGAGAGGGTGGGGAGAGGTGGAAGAGAGGGGGAGGAGAGGGGGGAGTAGAAGGGAGGGGAGGAGAGGGGGGTAGAGTGGTAGAGAGAGGGGAGGAGAGGGGGGAGTAGAAGGGAGGGGGAGGAGAGGGGGGAGTAGGGGAGACAGGGAGGAGAGGGGGGAGTGGGGGAGGAGAGGGTGGGGAGAGGTGGAAGAGAGGGGGAGGAGAGGGGGAATAGAAGAGAGGGGGAGGAGAGGGAGTAGGGGGGGCGAGTGGGGGAGGAGAGGGGAAAGTGGAAAAGCGGTGGAGGAGAGTGGGGAGAGGGGGAGGAGTGGGAGGAGAGAGGGAGCGGTGGAGAGAGGAACGAGAGGGGGGAGGGAGTAAGGAGTGGTGGTGGTGGTGGTGATGTTCACCAACTCAGCATGGCACAAGCGTCGTGGTGATGGGGGGAGCGAACGGCGATTGCTGCTGTTGTTGGTGGTGTTCGTGATGTTGATTTCTTTCCCACCGTACGTAGCCATGATGATGATGACAGCTTCCCTGGCTTCCACCGATAAAGAGTCAGTCGCCCATGTTTCTCGTCTGGGTTTGTCTTCGGGTTTATTGACTTGTGATTGGGATTTTTCTACAATGTCAGCGTTTTATTTGTACATAATTTATTTATTCTTATCCCATAAATTTACAGCGCCTTAGAGATTACCAATTTGAAAGGTGCTTTATTAAACCGAGTTCATTATTATTGTTGTTAATGTCGATGCCGATAATGAGAGTGACGCTGATAATTGATAACACGATGTAACACACTTTTTGTTCCTGGGTAGTAAGTGTTATTTCGTCATTGCTTATGCCTAAAAAGTACAGAAAATGTCTATTATTCCCCACAAACTTTGCTTTTGTGACCAGGACAGTGATGTTTTTATATTTACCTATTTTCAATGAGAAAACTGACGAATTTGTGTCTATTCACTCACACAAAGTCAGAAAAACAACATATGCATCAAAATTTACGTATATTTATACTAAAGTAATACAAAAATTACTACAAAAGATTTAAAAGTGAGTAGTTTTTCGAGATTTACGATTAATTATACAGTAAATCACTTTCACAAATCAACTCCCAAATGTAGTCTCCCATCATGTTCTCGTTATACTGTCCTTGGTAGCGGCGTTCAAAGTCCAGTATATCCTGGTGGAAGCGCTTGCATTGCTCCTCCGATTACGCTACCATGTTCTCCTTGAATTTATCAAGATGAATATCAAGGATATGGACTTTGAGGGACATCCTACAGCCCATTGTGCCGTAGTTCTTCACCAGAGTCTCAACCAGCTCCACATAGCTTTCGGCCTTGTGATTGCCCAGGAAGCCACGAACCACTGCGACAAAGCTGTCCCAAGCCGCTTTCTCCTTACTAGTGAGCTTCTTGGGGAATTCATTGCACTCCAGGATCTTCTTTATCTGTGGTCCGACGAAGACACCGGCTTTGACCTTTGCCTGAGACAGCTTAGCGAAGAAGTCTTGAAGGCTGCCGACTCCTTATCTACAGCTCTGACAAATTGTTTCATGAGGCCCAATTTGATGTGCAGTGGTGGCATTAGCACGTTTCGGGTCCACCAGTGGCTCCCACTTGACGTTGTTCCTCCCCACAGAGAACTCAGTTCGCTGTGGCCAGTCCCGCCTATGGTAGTGCACATTGGTGTCCCTGCTGTCCCAAAGGCAAAGATAGCAGGGAAACTTGGTAAAACCACCATGGAGACCCATCAGGTATGCAACCATTTTGAAGTCTCCGATGACCTCCCAGCCGTAATCATCATACTCCAAGGTGTCCAGCAAGGTCTTTATGCTGTTGTAATCCTCTTTGAGGTGCACCGAGTGAGCCAGGGGAAGAGACGGGTACTTGTTACCATCATGGAGCAGCATGGCTTTGGGTCTCTTGGATGAGCTGTCAATGAAGAGTTGCCACTCATTCTGGTTACAGGCGATTCTGATTGCCTCGAACAGACTGGTCACATTGTGGCAGAAGCAGAGCCCATCTTGACGGGTAAAGACGCTGCAAAAAGGTTGGTGATGCTTCTTCTGATCTGCGACTTGCACATTTTCATCCAACAAGTTCCACTGCTTGAGCCTAGACGTCAAAAGCTCGGCATTGAACTTGGTGAGACCAAGATCTCTGATCAAGTCGTTGAGGTATTTTTGGTTGGGGTAGTATGGGTTTCTCTCCTCAGCTCCACCTCTGAAATTGTCATCTGGATCTACAACGTCTTCCTCGCTCTCTGACTTGCTGCTCTCTTCTAAAGACGGCTGTTCTCTCTACAGGAGTGGGTACGGGGAGCTCATGGCAGTGTGGCACCGGGGCGATGGATGAAGGTCCGGATACGTGATAGCAGGTGCCTTCTTGACAGTCCGACGTTTGGAAGGGTCCATCATGCAGAAGTAGCAGTTGCTTGAGTGGTCAGTAAGTTCCCACCAAATTATTGGGATAGAAAACTTCATGGCTCTCTTTTCCCCTCTGTACCATCTTACAAAAATACATTTATGTCACCCATGACTAATGTGTAAGAGATTCTCCTAACATTTTTCATATAAGATAGATTTTTTTCAATAACATTGAAAATTGTAAAACATTTGAAAAGAAAAATGTTTTACAATTTTTTTTAAACAAATTTTATAACATAAAATTCCGAGCAACAATTGTCCATCTTACTTTCCAGAGTTGTTTTGCATTGCTCGCAGGTGAAATGAGGTGCCCAGGTTTAGTCTTGATCCCCGACAGGCATGCCAAAATATGCCTTGTAGGCCTCACACATCTTAGCAGAATCTTCCACACTCCACAGAGTACTTTTTTGCCCTTGTTTTGATAAATTGTCCATAGACATAGCACAATGCGTCTGCCGGTTGCTTGCAGCCTCTTGATGCCATCTCAGAAAAATGCAGATATGAATTCACTTAGGCCAGGCATGTCCAAAGTCCGGCCCACGGGCCAAACACGGCCCGCGGTCAGATTTCACACGGTCCGCAGCTTCGGTCTTATAATGTGTTATTTATGGCTCGCTAGCTCTGTCAGAATAAATAAATCATAACATTTAAAATATCTAATTCCTCCTTTTACCACACGGTGACAGCACCATTCTAATGCCCTCTGGCTCTGCATCCGTGCCGCGAACCCTTCTCGAGTCATTTCTGCCATGGCGACTGCAAACAAAAAAATAGAAAAGTTGACAGTGAGGGCCGCCGCTTTCAGGAGCAGTGGGAATTACAATACTTCTTCACTGAAAATCAAGGCAATTGTGTTTGTCTAATTTGTAAAGAAACGGTTGCCTTGTTTAAGGATTTCAACGTA